ATATTATGTACCAGAACAGGGATGACTTTGTACAGGATAACCAGAAGCGTGTGAAACGTGTGACTTCTACTCTAAGTGCAAGGTGAACATTTTCGGCAAGTGAATAACAAACTATTCAGTTAGTTCCTGGATAAAACAGTTACGTTTTATGTGTTCTGACTTGATATTGGATTATTCCACAATAATGCACTTCTAAGTGTTAAGCGTTTCATAGCAGCTTTAATTCTCAAAGATAAATACCCCGAGGTTTGATTCAAGTCAGGGCTACATTAAGGTCACCCTATCATTCCCATTATTAACAAATTCAGACTTCTTAAGGTATACTATAAATCTGTATCATATCTGTATCTGATATAAATAATGGCACGTATCCTCATTAAACTGAAAATTGTCGTTCGCTAATTTGATTTCTGTTATCAACAAAAATGTTTTGTGTCAATGCGACCAATTTACGTCTATTGAGTATGTTATAGTATCACGTCATGTATGTCACGTAGTATCATTTATCTAAACTCTCCTCACAATAATGAACTCATCCTTAGTATTTGAATTAGTTCTGTATATCTATCTATGTGTCATCCTACATGCTTGTTTGTTTGTCTGTCTGCTGTCTGTTATCATATTGTATTCGGTCATTAAAGACGCTTACAATAACAAATAAATTGTTTACAATGTCTATTGTAGTACTAGTAATCATTTAAAGGGATGCTGTTACAGGTTGCCGCAAAGAGCGAGTCCTACTAAATGCTGCAGACAGACACATCAGAAATTTGCGCACAGCCCTTTCTTTTCCATGCCTGCTGAGTTACTCAAATCGTAAATTATATCAACTCGATCACGCCTAAAACATTGGCTGTTCGCTCTCTCTGTCGTCATTACCACCTTCACCGTTATCATAGTTAATCGAAAAATGATTTGGCCTGTTTGTATGCGTTTCTGCAAAAATAACAGCAAGGTTTCTAGAGTTCAAGCTTGACCGGTAGGATTTCTTCGAGAGGACGGAAGGCCTCTTCGTCGGGCATCTCATTAGGATCGGCATCAATCAACCTTCGAGCAACCATCCGTCTGCCAGTCCTAACCAGCGTACCTTGCGGCGGTGGAGCTGGAGCCGTCTTCGTAGGTGTCGCAAGTACTCGACCCGAACGTGTTGTCATTTCAGCACGGGTTTTTCGTGTCCACATTGGCACTGTGTCAATGAAACGGGTCCGTCGAGTTTCAAGAAACTGCATCAGTTCCCTCCTCACAATCAGACAACACTTGAATAACATGTCGCAGTCACCAAGGGCATGATGTACATCTGTTGGAGGCTCTAAGTACATTCTAAAATGAGAAAAAACTGCAGTCAATTATACGTGTGCGTACACAGATAGCAAAGATAGAGCCAATTTAGAATGGAAACTAGAGAAACAACTCGTTACGTTTTATAGTGTCATCTAGATTTGCGCACAAACTAAAGACTGCCAGTGAGTTACTTTTTTTATTGTTATGCTGTATGATTTTGTTATATTGGCAACTGTGTACAAATAAAGTCTTTTATGGATATATCCATCTTAGCCAATATTTTTAATTTTCTTTTTATTGTATTCATACTACAAACAAGCTCTCAACTAGATCTAGAAAGTGTTTTACCTAAATCCGGTAGGTTTCCTTAGTGTTAAGCTATCACTTAGGAGAACCTCGTAAAATAATTTATCTATCTTCGATATCTAAGCGTTACTAACCTCTTGTATATTTCTATGAGTTTATAGCTGGTTCTTCTTGGATGCATTTTTCCGTCTGCACCTTTTTCGACGAATCTGCTCTGGACACGCTTTTTGTGTGGTGCAGGCGGTGGGTTGTTTGGTTTCGACGGCTGTTGACTTCGTGGAGGTGTTCTCATTCCTGGTTGCTCATCTCCGTCAGACAGGCTCGTTTCCTTGTCAACGCGGGGATGTTTAGGCCGAGTGCACATCCTTTTAGGAGATTCGTGAGAACCATCTGTCTCTATATCTTGCGTTCGCGATGTGCTCTCCCGCTGACTAGAAAAGGCCTCTTCCAAGCAGTTATCGCTAGCAGCAATACAGAAATGATTTTCTGGATGTTGCGGCAAAATAAATCGGAATGCCTCCAGGCTATCGCATGTGTAGATGTCTAGGTCATCCCAAGCATCATTCGTTGCCTCGAGTTCGGCCTTAAGCAGCGGAAAATCCAGCTTATTTCCATTATGAGCGATTAAGCAGATGGGTTGATCGAGGGTGAGCATAAATGACTTCAGTGCCAAGGTCGTTTCGCCAAATACTCGCTGCTGTTCAAGATTGTAGTTGTCAAGACCTACAAGCAATTACATGAAAGTACGGAATTTTTATAAATTACTGTATTTTATACTAGCTATGTTAAACTGTTAGAGGAAAGAAACAGCGTTCGAATGTTTCATATGAGTATAGACGGAGTAAATACTTCTGGCTGATTTATATAATTCGCTATTTTTGTTAAAAAAAATAAACGCGTAATGCAACACCGGTGGAAGGACACAATTATTATTCATAACGTACGCGTGACACTGTATAGGTTGCAAAATCTTACCGGTAAATTGTGTCGTTTCGTGGCACACGTTTTCGGGTGGTCTTATGCAAAATGAGATGCGATCTGTCACTCGGAAGGGCCGTTTGAATTGTCGCAGTCGACAGGCAAGCAACGCAACTTCGGTGATTCTAGGAGGCCCAAACGGAGGGATTCGGCTTGGTAGGTGCGTGCACTCCAAGTCAAGAAATACCAAAGTGCGAATGTCCATTTTTATTTTGGCAGCGAACTACAAAGTGTTTCCGATCGCGCACGCGTTACGGGCCGTGTTCCCGATAGTCAGAAGCGGGCCGAGTCATTGGTGTCTGAAGGAGAACTGAAGACGGCCAGTCATTAGCATACAATTCTGCTATGGAGAGCTGAAGAATGCTGTCAATGAAATATCCAAAAACACATATGGTTAAACCGTATTGACCATGGACATTACTATGTAGCGATAAAGTAGGTAGGGCCGGAAAATTCGCTTTTGTCCACCCAATGCTTTTACACGATTTGTCACCCTTTTTCACCAGAGCAGCTACAATAATTTAAGAACATTTTTAATTTTATTTTATTTATTTCGGCTTCCAGTGCGAAAAGAATCGTGCCACCACTTGTTCTAAAGTTCGATACGCAAACTACGATACGTGGCGATACTAACACCAGATTAATCTATGTAAGTGCTTGAAACACAGCATGGTAGAAAAATAACGGTGCGATTCTACAATGTAGAGAGCCAAAGACTGATCACTGTAAACTTATTTCGATATCCTTCTGAAATTGCATAGCATCTATTGAATGGATGAATCAATACACTGTTTATTTTCACGAACTTTATTCTGTTTCTTAGTTCTTGTTAGTTAGCTGAAATTGCTCTTTTCCATTGATTGATTCAATTGATTAATTAGTTAATTTATTACCAATTAACTTAAAACTAACTGGTAAAAAGGGAGGTACGCAACATAATAGCCCACATTTTTAAGGAAACTGAAAAGATTACCCCAGTGACAATTTGGATGAAAAACAAATTATATTGGTCCTCGTTTTGTAATAGCTAAAAATTCACGGGAGTTCACATTTTAAGCCCGTCAATAAATTGAAATGTACAACGAACTATATTTATTTTTGTCTATGGGTTTATGAGATCAAGATTCAAGACAAAACCTTCCATTTGTTGTGTAAATTATATAAATATATCTAAAGATAAAATGTAACTTAACATTACAAATCACAAAATAATATTTTATAAAGTAGCAAAGTTACACAAATGTTTATGTTGCATTTAATTGGGTAGCTTGCTTTATACGTTTGAATGATCCAGAATCGTATATAAACATCATAGTAGCCACGATGTACTGACAACGATTATTTCTGAAGGTAAAAAAAGCATGCTGTTTTAAAAGCTCATTTAATATGTTATTTGAGTTAGTTTCTTGTTGGACTAATTTGCTAAGAGTCAGATAAAAAAAAGCTAAATCTAGGTAATGTTAAATTCATACAAGCAACGCACCTACGTAGGCAACAACGCAATTAGGCATACCTATAAATCAAACCCTTGGATCTAAGTGAATACAGCGTAAAGTATAATTCACAAATTCGCACTTTTATTGCATGATTTAACAGTCACTCTATAGGGAAACCACAGGTCAGTCTTGTCGACAAGCAGCCACAGATTACTTCTTCTTAGTCTGCAAACCCGCGCCGGCATTGAATTTGAAAAAAATAATGTCACCATCCTCAACCACATAGGTTTTGCCCTGTTGGCGGTACTTGCCAGCCGCCTTACAAGCCGCTTCACTACCTTCCTCTTTAAAGTCGTCGAACTTCATTACCTCGGCCATAATGAAGCCCTTCTCGAAATCGGTATGAATCTTTCCGGCAGCCTGAGGTGCTTTCGTATTCTTCTGGATAGTCCAGGCTTTGACTTCGTCCTTTCCGGCCGTAAAAAAGTACATCAACTGTAGAGCTTTGTAGCCAGTTAAAATAATTTTATCCAGGGCGGAAGCAACACCCTTCTCCATACAGAATGCTTCTCGCTCTTCACGTGACATGTCGACCAGTTTGTGCTCAAAGGCTCCTGAAAATGGGATAATCACAGCACCCGGATCATTCCCATCTATATGTTCTTTAAGTTTCGGTAGCCACTTGTTTTTCTTGCGAATGTAGTCGCTCTCGGATAGATTTACCAAGTAGATCATCGGTTTCGCGGTGATGAAAAGATGCTTGTTGAGTACTTCAATTTCTTCAGCCTTCCAGTCGTGAAAACGAATATGCTTTTCGTCGTTTTTAAGCAGATCCCTTACTTTGACCAAGAAGTGGTATTCGGACATCAGCTTTTTGTCGTTGGCTCGTACAACCGTACGGTCCATCTTTTCAATGAGAGCGTTTAGGTACTCAAGATCTTTCTGACGGAGTTCCTCATTGATAATAGCAATGTCTCGCACAGGGTTCACGTCACCCTCCACATGCGTAACGTCCTCGTCTTCGAACGTCCGACAAAGATGCAACAGAGCATCACAGGCCTTGATGTGGGACAAGAAAGCATTGCCTAAGCCCTGACCCTCAGCCGCTCCTTTCACAAGTCCGGCAATGTCCACAACGTTCAAATACGCTGGTACCTTTGATGCAGGCTTGAAACTTTCGCAGAGATAATCGAAGCGCTCATCCGGAATCGATACGCGTGACTCGTTCGGGTCTATCGTACAGAAAGGGAAGTTTTCTGCAGGAATCGACTGGCTGCAGAGCACGTTGAAAAAAGTGGATTTTCCCACATTTGGCAATCCGACAATCCCACATTTAAGGTTCGTGCCCACGCGACCCATCAAAACCGGCCGTTCCGGGCCATCACTTTTTTTCTTCGGCGGCATATTTCATTGACACACACACACCAAACTATTTCACCCTATAAGAGGGGCACGAATCACAGTCCAGCCGGCGCCGATTATAGTTCACACAAGTGCTACACCTCCCGTATTGGCCAGCCGTTTGGGACTGAATCGATTGGGAATTCGATATCGATTGCATGAACTAATACGGCCCCAACTTGGAGGCTGAAGAGTGGCGTCAAAATTGGGGGAATGTCGCATCCGGCAGATGATTCAATAAAAGAAATTCCGGCCGGCCACGACTAAACACGTTCGACTCAAAAAGAATGAACGTTTTTTTGACTGCCGCCTCTTTGACGGGCGGCTTGCGACGCTTGAGAAAGGGTACCTGTACGCCTCTCCACCCGAACGTAATTCTCGAACGCTTCAGTGACATTTGTTGCCAAATTGTACATACCTAAAAGTATTTTTCTACTTCTACAACTAACTTTTCCCTAACGATTCTCTGAAACACTAGCAGATGCATTCCTTGGTACGTGCAATGAAAATCATTCCAACGTTATGCATTTAGTAAAAAGGACACTGTTAAATAACACCAGAGTGTGACTTACGGTAGTGTAATGCCTCGTACGAGCAGGCTACGCTATGTACCATTGCGAGTTCCAACGTTTAACTAATTTTCAGTTACTCGATTAACAAAGTATTGCCTTTTTAAATAGTTAAATTGATATTATCAGCCAGATAGGCCAATCTAACAGGTATCGTATCAGACGCATAAAGAAGAGACCTAGTGACAAACAGTTTCGAGTCTATCAGTCTCAGGAATTTGAGAACTGTGTCTAATCCGCCTGCTCCATGTGTCCAGATTAGTTCGTATACGCAACGGAATAAGCCACATGTAGTACACATAATGAATATACATCTATTATTTGTGTGATTTGTGTCATCTTGGCTCGTAAGCGACTACAATCACTTCGACAAGTTATTTCGTTACGGATATCTAATTATTACGGAATGAAATTTGAATATGATTGCTAAGCGCTAAAAATTTTCTCCAAACTGCTATGCTTAAATTCGTTCAGCCAGTCTTGTGTATGACAGGACATGTTACTGAACAATACTATTCTCGTTTCGTGACGTCGAAACTACCCGAGGACAAGAGTATGAACGCATCGACTTATAAACAATCTACTTGACAGATTTCATATGCTCCTCATTTTGGGTTGCTTTGCCTCTGTAAGAGCTAATGAGACATGGGACTGTTATTTCGAAACTGGCGGCTGCACTTTTGCTCCGGTTTCATTTCAATACGTTGTTAAAAACTTATTTTCACTAATTCGCGACAACGTAGCGACTAGATTATCGCTTAGCGCTATCTTATTTAGCAACATCATGCAGCAAAACACTGGTCCGCACTCAGCTGCCCTACCTAGAACGCGTTTAAACCACTTCTCACCTGCCCCCTCTCTATCCAACAGATCGGGCACCACCCAACTTCACTCGAAAACAACAAAATATTAAGCCCTCACAAATTCTTCGGAAATTCACTGTTTGTTTACTACCGACGCACTAAAATGTGGTAGGCGTTCATCCTTTAACAATGGCTGAGGTGGCGGGAAGTTTAAATCGCGTTTAAAAGTTATAATTGAGTCATGAACCGTAACCTAACATCCGGGATCGTATAGATGATTCTATATACCGCTATATACGAAAATCTAATATCAAAAATCGATGAATTTCAATATTGTATTTCCAAATGACACTATCTAGCAATGATGCGACATGTTGCTATACTTTTTTTAATTTTAAAGACGCGCTTCCACTCTTCGGAATCTGATACCACTTACTCAGATGTCGTAGTTCAGGCTTTTAGCAAACAAGTTTCCTGTGACCCTCGAAAAATTAGAAAATTCAAGGTGTTTACGAATGAGCTCCGTCCAGGGACTACAGTGGCATGCCCAGCTCGGAGTATGAACCTTCTACTATGTGAAAATTCTACTACAAGAAACACTCTGAGCCTTTAATCCAAAATGTTTCGCCAAAAAAATTGAAATTAGAAAACATCCTTTAAAGATAAATACGTAGAAGCCAACCACCCTCGATCCCACTTAGAACCTGAGTTGTGTACATGTGGAAATACTATACTCCTGCGTTTCGATCACAAATATGTAAAAATTGGTTATACGAATACAATGTAATACAAAGCTTCCTTTATTCGAGGAGTTTATAAAATTGTTACAACATAGGGGCATAGAACGGCTTTTTGTGCAGTATTGTTGCCATTCACCATAACAACAGATTACTAATAGAGTCAAGAGTGGTCATTTCTGAAACGCTAATAAGTTTTGTTATATTTACAAAGATCTTTCACACAGACATATATAATACATACGGGGCCTTATCAGGCTTAGAACCAAATCTGCTATTAAAAAGAGTGGCGCGATACTAAGAACTAAGAGTTCAGTGCGATACTAAGAAACATCTCTGACTCCACTAGGTCAGTATATGAAAATAAACACGCCTGTTTCGAAATTAGCTAAAAAGTAAGTATCGGTTGATATTATCAATACATTACATTCTGAATGAATTCTTTCTTAAGGGGGCGCTCTATGCAAATACAAGTTTGCCAACTGTCATGACGCATAAGTATTTCGACGTTTTTCAGTCTTGAGATGTTCTTGCTGTACCCGCGGTTGCAATCACATTTCGGATAACGATTATCATAATTCAGTATTCTAAGCAAAAATAGTTTGCAAGAACCTGTATCCTTAAAAATATTGCGAAGTTGAGGAATCGTTTGATCTTGAAGAAAAATTATTCATCTGGCTGAGGTCTGCAACTTCAATGAGACTTTAAAACAGCTTAACTCATTATACATTTATAACTCACGATGCTGTTAACTATGGAAATACCCGTTGTCCTTTATGGCTTACTTAAGGGATATATTTCTCATATAATTGGAACATAATATCATAAGCTTATCGCCGATTACCATCAATTGCTGCTAACAATCTTTCTGATTAATTATTGAGTAGGATCAATACTCATTAACTTTGACTAACTATACCTGTTAATTTTTCGGAGAAAACTATAATAAAATCACAACGAGGTATGCTTTTATTTTGTAAGATATACGCGTTTTCAGTAAAATTACCATTCCTATTTTAATGTAATACATTACCCCTTCAATATTTTTTGAAAGCGACAGACAAGTCAACAATATGGATTTCTGTTAGACGTAAAACAGGTTTTGAGCTCACAAATGCAGGCACATTTTTGAGATCAACCGGTGTGAATATACACGTTAGGCAGTAATTCAAGTGTGTACATATTGTTGTCCATAAAGTTGTATTTGCGCTAATGTGTGTACAGTGAGTGTCAAGAGGCGCGTTTAACTTCTTGCACATCCATAGTTCCCAAAGTTGGGGGCGTATCCATCATGATATCGGGCTTAAATAATTTTATAATTCACCAATTAGGTGCACATGTGTAAATACGAGGTAGTACTATTCTAGGATATTTTTGCATCCTTTCTGAACATTATATTCAAACTACGAAACACCTCGGAATAAATGGTATAGCTCACATTTCGTTCTGTGTATTTCATTTTGAAGTCCGTGTGCATTTTCTTAATCGACATGTTACCAGGCAGATAACGGATTTGCCCTTTCTTCCGACCAACTACAATAGGCTTATATGACAGTATATGATTTTTGATTATTTCTCTATCGATTTTCGCTGTGGCACCCTTCATTGGAGTTGCCTTTCCACGCTGAGGACTTCTCGCGCGAATATCACCTTTCTGTTGTTTATTCAGGAATCTTAACGCGCCATCTACTTTTTCAGGGAAGCCAAGTGTAGTTAAGAACATTGCCTTACATACGGTAAGAAACTTGCCATTGTCACCCTTCAGCGAGTATACGCGCGTCCATCCACGTCGAAATTTTTTGCCTTGTGACAAATCCTGACTGCACGCATTGGTATCGGGAAGGTCAATAAGTGCGTCTTTCAAATCATCGTCGATACCGCCGTCACTTCCAACCTCGTGGGACGAAATGTTACGACGGAGCAGTTTTTTTCCAGTTGCAACGGTCACCGGTTCGATTGGCTTTGTTGTTGTTGTCGTAGTCGTTGTTGTTGTTGCTATTTCCGCTGCTTGATGTGGAGATACTGACCTTTGTAACTCCACAGCTTTGAGGGTTCCATCTTCGCCCACTCGGACATATACAAACTCCATGTCTTTTTTAACTTCTGAAGATTCTCCGGCCTTATTTTTGAAAACGTCCCCAGACTTGGCAACCTTCATATTACTTGCTTCTTCCGTACCTGAATCTTTCAGCTGGGGGTCTGATTGGCTGATTTTAGGCTTACGTTTTTTCCGCCGTTTCACATCAAGGATCTCAACAGAATGCAGAATAAAGTCTCGCTGCTTATCATAAGGTAGTTGCCAATACTGACGATTAATCTCGATGCGCCTCGCTTCAGACAGTTTTTCAAAACAGCGAAACTTGCAGTTGCATGGCGGTTTTACGGAATGCCGTTCGATTTTCTGACGTTCGTACTCTTCGCGTTGCGCTTTGATTAGCTCGGGCGGGCGTCTTGGTTTTCTTTTGGGCTTTTCAACCGCCAGAATCGCTGTAGCTGGCGGAGGCTGTACTACCATTGCGGGCTCAGTTGTTACCATTAGTGCAGCTGTTGGAGGGGGTGTCGGAAAGATCATAGTATCTATGGGCGCCGTCGCGCCAGTCGTATGCGAAATTGTGGCTTGCACCTGATGCTGAAGTGGCTGAGAGATGGGAGTGGCTGCAATCGTTGCTGTTACACCAGGTGTAGCTGTGGCAAGAGTTGCCGTCGTTGCGGGCAAAGGTTCCAGCTGCTGTATAAGGCCTGGTTGATCATTCACAATGAACAACGGCTGAATTATGGCAACGTTAATTGTCTCCCCTGATGGCTGTTGATACGTGGCAACAGTTTGAGCACGCTGTACGTTGACTCCATGCACGCCATTGAGGCTCTGTACTGTAGCCGAGCTAGCTGCTTGAATTTGAATTGTCTGTGTGGGCTGACCCACATGCTGAGTATGCTGTACCTGGATAATAGAAGCAAGTCAAAACGACGCAGAGAAGCTTGCTTCAAATAGTAGTCATTGGAGAACGGTGACATTCTTAATCTTTTTTTCTTAAATAGATGCAAAAAAATTATTTCATTTTTATCTTCATAGAAATTAATAAGCAACACTTTGAAGAACTTAGGAATACAAGAGCTCTTATGCATAGATGTAAGGTAAAAAAGCGCGCACCTTTTCTGGACCACTCGATTCATATCGGCGTGGTTCATCAAATGGGTGGACCTGTTAGAGAATATTCTAATATAGTGCTTTTTTAAATATTAACCTGTTGGATATGAGCGGCCTGTTGCGTTTGTGCGGCCGGTATGACTGGCATCGAAATCCATTGAGTATTAGGGTCATAGTTGAAATGCTGGACATTGACGTGGTTCTGCTGTTGGATTGCGTTGCTACTCGTTGTGGTTGTTGGAGACGCTGTGGCGTAAATGATCGACTCCTTCGAGTTGCAAGGAGATGAGCTACAGGTGGCCAAATTTGCAAAAGGCTGCGTTGTCTGTTGTTGAACTTGTTGAACCTGCACCTGCAACTGTGTAGGGCCGGCTGGTATTGTCTGGCTTCCAGAAGACTGCACACTGGCACAACTGGCTGGAGCCGTTTGGTAAGTAAATAACTCTTGTAAGTTATCCATCTGCAGAAAAATCAATACCAGTGTAGTGTTTTGAAAAGTAATTCGGCAAAAAAAAGTATTTTACATACCTACGGAGCAAGCAAGGTTATATTATGTTGGGTGAAAGGTTCTCGTTAGATGGCGATAGCGTTGCATTGGCTGATTGTACCCAGCTGAAACTTTTCAGAATCACTATTTTGACTGGCGGGCGTATGCCGTGTCAGTTTCATTCAGCTCCAGTTGTTTCGAAACGTTCAGTCATGGGACAATTCATATCTGACTTAATTTCATTTCTATTTCTACTTCGTGTTGATAAAAGTGCTGCCAAGAAAAAAGTACTTACGAAGTCGAAGGCAAACGTGTAATAATAATAATTATCAATTATTTACAGGAACCACTTTCCAATCTTGGGTTAAACCGGAGATCCGCTTCAAAACCGAAGATTTCAACGTGAATTACAAACCACGTTCCGGATGGCCATAAGATAAACGAACCACGATGAGCTGCTGCAGGCACTTTCCCGACAGCGAAATTCAGCGCAATCGACCCGAGAGCTCACTGTGTAAGTGGTGACCCAAATAACTTCTGTGAATCGTTTGCATATGTTCGGAAACATGGAAAAAGGGGACTTTTATGAGCTCAGTAAAAATGACTAAAAAGAAATCCGACAGTATGCCTTCCTTTGCTTGCATGACAGTTTCTATATAGGATCATTACTGGCAGCAAAAAAAAAACTGGCCTTTCATGACATTTCTAAACGTAAACCAGAATAGTTAGACTTTTCTAATTCGAAACTACACGGCAAAATTCAGGTTTAAAAGCTGTGAATGCTAATGGACCCTACACATCACTAGCTCTGATTATCACTTGTTTCATTCAATACAGAACAGAGGCCGAAGTTCGCAAATATGTTGACGAATGGATCGCTTCCAAGGACGAAGCCTTTTTACTTCGCATGATACATCAACTACCGGAAAAGTAAAAAAAGGAGCGAAAATCGTTGGAAGCGAAGGGAACCACTTAGACTTAAGATGTATTCGCTTGTTCGAAAGTTATAATAAATTTAAGTGGCTAACAAGTAATGGGAACCCCTTATTCAACTTACATATACTATAACTTATTCGTAGCAAGTTATTCATTATTTTACGTTACTGGTTATCTTGAATAAATAGGCTACTGTTGACGATCAAACTCACACCCATGATCAAAATTACAGAAAACTGTTCTAGATTAATAAACACGACTTGTAGTACATATGTCTAGTAAGCAGCAGACCTATAATGAGTTGAAAAATTGTCTAGCATCAGCCGATCAATACAAAAGTATCGGACGCAACAGCCACTTCTTCATCCCATTCCTATACGTACACAGGGTGTTCAGTCTGTCTAATCCCGCTTAAATTATGGTATACTCCTCAAATTGTTTTTGCAAAAAACTCCATATTCCAACTAATCTGTTTTGGATGTGCTTAAAGCTCTGCTCATTTCTATTCCAGCTTCAATTGAAAACCTAAATTATCCATAGTCATTCTTAAAATTTTCCCTAGTTTGCAAATAATGTTTTAATAATAACTATGCGTCAAACATATGATTAAAGTAGACTCACTGAGGTTTTGCTCAAGCACGGTCCATATAAAAAGATTAGCGAAAATTAGGAAAGTTTTTGCCTTATGGCAGCTCAAAAGGTTAAAATACACAAGGATTAGAAACAGCCGAGAAAAGGAATAGATCTCAAAAAGGACTAACGGTTAGAGCTTATTTGATCAACCCAATTGGCAGTGAAGATTTATCTCATTTTTCCGAATCAAACATCTAGAATTATTATAAACGGTACCTTGCACCATTTTGATAAATTATTAAGCCCTTTAAACTAAAATCCTTGTTAGTTCCCGTCACTTTGTCTTACGAAGATCTTCTCCGAATTTCGTAAAATCCATATGGCAATGACGTAAACTAATTACTTTAGGTAAAACTCTATTTTTTAGTTAAAAAACTAAGTTTTCCATCTTAGACCGCTTCGCTTTAGCTTGGGGACTTTGCCGACCTTCACTCATATTCTGAAATCTATTGCCTCTGCCATAATGAGTTCTTAGTTTTGTTTTAAAAAGAACTAGTCTTTGTTTAGTGCTTAATATGACGGATAAAGGGATACTCGCTGTGCTAAGCAGGTTGGCAGAATTCTAACAGATCACCTTGTATGTATCCTCACCCCGTGCAACCAGGAAAAAGTAATTTTTAAACAAGTATTTGAACGAATTGTTGTGAAACTTACTGACACCGACTCACAAAGGAGCACATTATTATACGCATTTTTTCTCATTATAGTATTATATCAACTCAGACTGCCCTGACGCTATGATACTTTTTGCGCTCAAAAGTTTATAGTTAGATGGTCAGACTTAAATAACTAACAGGCGTGTAAAACAACGGAAACTGCTCGTTTCCGTTGTTTTCAAAACTTAAGAAATAACATAAACTAGCGCATTCAGTGTAAAACTGCGTCAATCGAAAATAGGATTTCGTATCGGTCAGTCTTCTTCGTAATTCACTGCATAATACATTTTTTTCGTAGAAACAAGACAATTAATTATTGGTGCAGGTTTTGATGATTCTTCCAGCTCATCCAAAATGGTAGCTCGTTGTTAATTCAATTCACAAAACATCCATTGAGTAATAGTGTACTTAGGCGGCTAATAATTATTCATCATCATTCACCACTACCGTTTGTTCAGTAAACATAGATACAATAGAGAATATCATAAGCAACTGAAAAAATGACGATGGTGCTGGGGGTATAGCATTGTCTACGTATAAAATATGAGTCGATGGAGGTCATTCACAAGCGTGTTAATTCGTTAAAGGGAAACACAACCTGATGGCTTTCACTGCATAAATTGATAACAGTTCCGTTGTGAGAGCTTGACTTTGGAAAGGGTGTAAATAGCTTCAGTGATTCGCGCCAAATATAGCCAGTAGTTCAAATTTTTCTGAAAGCTCCAGAATTTGTAAGCAAAAAGTCGTTTTCTCTGCATTCTCTGACCTGATATATGTAAGATGAAAAATATCTTATTATATCCAATCGTGTATAATTATATAATATAAACGCTCCTCTCTCCTAGGAGTCTCGTGATCCATCCTCTCAATCATGAACGTGAGGAAGAAGTTATTTAAGAAAAATGTCAAAATTGCCTTAAAAGTAATACGAACATTTAATGCTATGCGGAGTGCTGCCTTGCAAACAACAGTGATTAACACGAATGTTAACATGAACAGCATTAGAGTGAAGTATGCCACAAAGTTAAGGTTAAAATATAGTTTCCACCTTTACATACATTTTTCAACTTTTTGAAATCTAAAAATGTATTTGTCAAGAGCAATGTGCGGAATATACAAATCAATGATATCAAATGGATAGAAAGCCAACGTAAGCACCTGTAGTTTTTTTTTCGAAGTTATCAGCTGTATGGATATTTTACCCCGAATATTAAATAATCGAATTCCTAATTTTACGATAATAATTTGTAATACGACTAATAATCTCTTAAATTCCATCAGCGACGACCTAGTTACTTTGCTAAAACAAAATGATCATATCATTCATCATCAAAGAAACAGTTGCCACCATCACCTGTGGCAAGGTGTCCACATGGTATTTTTCCCTAATTATTATGGAGAAACTTCCAAGCGTCTAGTAAATATTAATCGCGTAAGTTGTAGTTGGCGCCATCGACATTGGGCAAAATGGAGCGAATCAAAAGACCATACGCTAAAGGAATGTATATAGCATATAAGAAACGAGGGGTGGAAAAGGAAAGTGCCGGATAGTTCTCAACCCAAAACGTAGCCGACGAACGCAAGGAATCACCTATTCCCTGTGAAGGCTAACAAACGAAATAACTACTTGCTACGTGACACAGCTACCTAAGGTCGTCCCCGCGAAGATCGCAGATAGCCTATTCTCCGAATCGATTTCTGTACCTTGTGCAGCGAGCGAACAACCGTGACGGGTCCAGCTGACATAGGCTAAGCTTTTCTTACTGTCACCAATGGGTTGCTCGCATAATTATGGGGAACTTCATTGGAAAACTAATTGGGAATCGACGATAGCTCTACGTTCCATACGCAAGCCTTCCCTAACAATGGATTAGCAGATACGCACCACATCAACAACGCGAACGGGTCCGCGTATCGCTGATTGGCTATGCCTCGACTGCCGCCGTCTGCGTCAGGATTATAACTCATCTGGCGCGCAAATTCAAACGAATGAAGATAGGTTAAAGTTTTGTTTACTTGCATACACCACCAAGCGACAGAATTCGACGACAGGTCCGAATCCGGCTTTATTGGTTCTTTAGTTTTAAATAGTTATTTATTTTGTGTGTTTGTGTGAAATCATAATGGGCAATCTTCCACATGTGAAGTTGATGTTTGCGACAGTATTTATATGTGTATAAGTGAACAGCGCAACGTAATAATGGTGTGTGTTTGACATAAAATTACTGAATCTGTTTTTTGTATGTTTAGAAGCTTATTCCCCTAATAACCGGTACGTTCTGTTTGATCATTACGCTTTTTGTTGATTGGTCGTTGAATGCGTGTCCTCAGAGTTTGCATTGGACTCAAGCCTTGTTATATAATCTGCTTATTCTAGCAACTTATGTATAGACTGATTTAACTTATTAGCTTAAAAGTTCTGATTTTTTTTTAATAGTATTGTGTTTGTTATTCTTAAGCTTAAGCTCGTTCGAGTGCATTTATGATGTAAGGCAAAACTGTAGAAAAGCTAGTGGCTTCCTAGGTTAAAAATCAGAGTACTGAATATGGACAGCACCAAATATTAACGTTCAACGAATAGAATACCTTTATATCACCTGCTGATATCTATTGGACACCTATTAGCTACTCCCAATGCTCGAATAAGGTTAAAACTAAGAAATGCAGAAAAATATTCTGCTCGAAAATTTCCACGCTCTATAGTCGCACACTCAAAAGTGAAGTCCAGAGTCCGACAAAGTTGTGTTGTGTTTTTAAAACGTACAGTGTATACAATTTTTATATTTATTGTATATCAGAGTGATATAAATTAATTTTCCATGGTTAGATTAGTAAAACTCAATGTCTATGTGTGCGTTTGTGGCGCAACAGAAGGCTCTATTCTGTAATGCCTTTCCCGTTCGAATGATTTTCGTTTTCTTGTGTTTGTCTATATATATATATATATATATATATATATATATGCATGACATAAAAAAATGACATAACAGCCGAATGTGTGAAGAGCTAAATCAAGAAGGGTGTGTGTCGTTAAGCAGAGTGCGTCCTTATTGAATTGTGTGTATTTTCCTAATAAGTAATGTTCGCTGTTGTTTATTGCCTTCACCTATAAGTGGCTGATTGTTAAAGGTTATATATAGTTGAAATACTTTTATCTATACTTTTGCATTGCGGATTTCTAAATTCCTCTCCTCTTTAGAGTCTAAATTCGACGTTAGTTTTGTTGTCTACAAAAACCTGGTCAATTGCTTGCGTTCTAGCGGAGACAAACTTATATTATAAACTTACGCAAAACCTTGTCTACTCGTAAAATGCCCCCTAATTGCGTATTAAGCTAGAATGGATTAAATTACATAACAATAAATATAGAGGAGCGTTTTTTGTCGTATTCGAGTGCGAAATTAGATACTTCTACCTAACTTGATACATAAATCAGCAGTTACGACCAGAATAGCAATTGTCAACAGTTATATATATTACAGCTTACTAATTAAAGGCACTTATGTGTTCCAACCATACAGCGATGACCGTATGCCGGGTAGAATCCTTCATCCGTAAGCAACTTTCTAAAATCCTATTTTCGTTACAGTTAAAAAAAGTACTAAATCACTGAACAGTACACGATTTTACACTATATACTCCTACATTCGAGAATATCATCTAGAATGCGATACAGTTGCGTCATATAACTCAGAAAACGTAAATAAATTATATGCATGCGCTACAAGTCGTTAATAATACACAAGCTAATTACACCTGAGTAGACCCGATTCCTGAATTCACACTACCGAAACAGTGACGAGAAGGCTCTAATAATTAACAAATGGGCACAAAGTAAAGCCCAAGTTGAGATTACAACGGACTCAATTATTATTTTTAGATAGATAGATTATGATCTGTATGACCAGATAAACTGCGTGTCATATAGCATAGTAATACGATTGATTAGGCAGTCCTCTTCATTGATGATATGTTTTGATAAAAAGAGAGAAACCGTCAGAGAGTGAGGCGGTCCATTCGAGTTATTAACCTCACCTCGTTATTTTTTTTATATTCCTTTCTGAGTGGTCCTATAGCCGTGCGTAACTGTAGTTGTGTCGAAGTGTATGAACTCATATACAACGTGCGTAAAAGAAAACCTACGTTGATGTAATTATGATTTACTTTCGTTTTTAATTGAACAAAGCTAAGTGAATCCAACGGCTGCATGAAACTAACCATGAGCATGTCAATGTTAATTCAAGATTCTGGTTAGAGAATCGCCGAACAACTGCGTTCCATGGTCACTATTGGCCATTCAGCTTAACTACCTCCAGGGTTTGTAGTATGGTGCAAGTTAGCTTTAATTTCGTAAAGAACTGTGAATCCCCAGCATAGTAGTTGCACACCTGATGAGCGCAAAAAGATTACATTCGACTTCATATAGTAATTCGAATATTCTTATAAGTTTTAGACTGTGCTGATATTGACATACTTGTAAAAATATAGGACACATGCGGAAACCGACCATTTATGTTGTATGAATATTTCAGCAGGCGGCGACGATGCATGGCAGTACTGTGAAGTTGAGTTGATAGTGCCCTCCCTCTACACCTTATGTGTCGAAGTATTACTTATCCGTTTAGTATGTGTTACTTCTAAGACTAAATGAGGGCTAATAGGCGACTTGTGCACCGCACAGAGACAACAGCGTACAGCCATGATGTTTTAAATATATATATATATATATATATATATATATATATATATATATATATATATATATATATTGGACAAAATTAGAGGAGCGTAAAACAGCGGTGCGAGAAACGGACTGCTGCACCGTGTGCTGACAATTTGCATTCAGTTCAGAATAACATAGAATCTATGTCCCACAACACCGGTGCTTGTAAATATAATTGGAGCAAGCATTTTTCGGTGGGGATTCAAATGCAGATTTATTGTAGTATAAAATAATCAATTTTTTAGCTCTTTTTAAGGTAAAGCAGGAGCTCGCCTATGGTGTCATGGCAAATCAAGATGAGGTAAGCCTGCTTTGATTTCCTAACAGATACAAAAATTAATAAATCTTAATGTATACATTACAGTATCTGTTACTAATTATAGATTTTACTGTGAATTCCGTTAGGATGACTTCGATTATGGAAGTGATTGGCCTCCCGCTGCGCCTAAAGGAACTCGCAAAGGCTTTACGGCAAGGGACGATTATCTTATCATTCAATACCTTTTGAAAACGAAAGATATTACTCATCTTAAAGGGTACCAGGTTTGGAAACGTTTGCAACACAGCCGTAAGGTAGGCAAACTATTAATGCCTTATAATCCCGTTATTGGTAATCCTGTTGAGATTTCTATGTTGAAAAGGTAAATTAGCTTACCCACGTTGTCTAACAATATGGTGTGCAACAAGTGGGATTTGGGCTGTATACATGGAAAAAACATATTTGTGTTTACGTGTTTATGTGGGGCAATGATTCTTTTATCTAGATAAAGTCATTGCATTTTGTTGCTATATATAAACCATGCCATATATATATATATATATATATATATATATATATATGAATTCCCATTAGAGTGTGACTGTCTCACTTTTTATTTACATAAATTTTAGTTAGTGTCACTTTTATTTTTGTCTTGTTTTTGCCACTTCTTGCCTAGTCGTCTTTTCAAACACACCATCTTGATTTTTGGTACATTTCTGATTACAGTATAACTTTGGCGGATTTCGTTATCAGTCACTGCACGAACGTTGGCGCAAAGTTATTGAGCCTTCGATCGAGCGCTATGGCCTCAAGGACACAGAAATGGAGATGCTTTTAATCAAGCCACCGGGTTACTTCGCAAATAAACGGTACGAACTGAATTCTTCGTAAATTATTCGGTCATAAAACTGCAAACATAGCCCATTTTGTGTCTACCTTCATAATTGGCGCGTTTCTGTCGCTTTGGGCGCAGAACTGTCATCTATTATCTGATGGAGACGACCTTCGGCCTCTGTTTTCGTGCAGAATACTTCGTTTATTTTATGTTCCAATGTTCAAACTTAGGCCACTACGTGTTCCAGAGCTCAAGTCCCTTAAGGCTGCTCTATTTAGCTGTTTTATTAACTGCAGGTATTTTTCTCTGTTTGATGCTACTGGTGCCACCACTTCTGGTGCTGGCGTGGAATGCCAGTGAACTTAAGTAATTAGAAGATATGAAGGTTGGCTCCGCTGGAGCGATATTTTACTAGAACCTGCCTTTTTGTATTGAAGTTAATCATAGTAATACTTCTTCCCCCGTCATTATGTAAAGAAGGGCGAGCAGCGACTTTCACGGTTAAATACGTCATCAATTTACTTAAACAGGAAAATGGCAAGAAAACTGATGTCCAAACCATCTGAAAAGAAAAGTCTATTGGACCAGTTTGATGACGACGTTGAACAAGCGGACAACAGTGAAGGTCAAAATGATACAACGTCGTGTACAAGTAGGATAAGGATCAACGACTCAGGTAGCGATAGTAGTTACGAACCGGGCATCGAAGAAATTAGCAGCGAAAGACATACATCTTCTAGTAATTCTGACACTAGCGTCGAAGCTAGTCCAGTAAAAAAGCGAACGTCACCGCGTGGGAACGAATTGATAAAAAAAGCGTCGGAATCATTTTCCCCCGAGGAAGGTCCCGCTGTAACAGTGAGTACGATAAGATGAGACGACAAGTTCTTCTTATTTATTCTTTTTAAGCTCTCGAATCCTATCAAATATGATAGCAACCTGATTAGCTGCATTAAATTGGTGCAAAAGGTTACTTTATAACGTAGAACTCTAAATACTGCAGCAAACCTTGATGATTGGCGTATGCACATTATGCAGAGAACCAAGCAAGGAAAGTGGCAAATATAATTCCTAGTTAAGGCATGCAAAAACGAATGCTCTATCAGAGAGTATTCATATATAAATTTAACATATATACATTGGTTTAATATTCTGAAATATTAAATCTTTGTCCTCTACTCGGAATTATCCACGAATAAACCGTATTTAATTATATGTGTATGACAACCACTGGAAATCGCCTTGTGTACACGATTTCAGAAAGGCAGTCTCCAGAATCGACATGTATCGTTTTCGACGCCTTTAACACAAGAGTCAACGAAGGTACGTAATTGGCGGAAGCATGTCATTTTTCGCTAGAACTGGAATCTTTTAATATCGATAGTCGACTGAAGTTTACTTATTACTTTTATCTCATGTGATATTAATTAATATGTTTACACAGTAACCATAGAATATTGCTTTTAAATGCGCTAAGATATCTGCTTTTATAAGGCTTTACTGTTGTGACGCTACCTTGCCTCTTACCATATTTTTTTATTATATATATATTTATATATTCAGGTAAAGAGATTTTATTTCATCAGAGATCTTACACTCATTGACCTTTAACAGATCGTGCAGCATACATATTTGCCCGCCCTTTCATGCGTACATATCTATGAACATACAGACGCTTGGTTAAAGCCTGTCACTCAGCTTAGAATCCACCGTTGCCCTAATTCTCACATCTTTCTTCCGATTCAGTTTTTGTGTCTCAAAATTTCTTCACGTCTCCGCTATGCTTGAGATCATTATACATGCTATTTGCTATAGCACTTATATGAAAAAACGTATTTGCAAATGTCTTTCTGCCTCCTAATCGATTGATTGTATTTGCCGAATTGTCATGTTTATGTGCGCACATCACTACACCCATTAACACCCATTTGAATTTCGTTTCTCGACTGCGATCTCTCTCGTAATACGTATTAATAGGACGGTTCCTCACCCACTAGTGCGCTGATTTCATCGAAATTATCACTTCTGCGTGCACTTCGTTTTTTGAGTACCGCATTTGGCATGTTTATCAGCTTATCCATTCCCATAGTAGTGCAGGTCGCTTAACTAGGCTCTATGACAAGACTATTGCCTAAGTGATGTTTGTAGTCGGTCTTTCAGTTGGTTGGCAAATTTTGCTTAGCCAAGTTTTGTAAATGGAACCTTGTTTAGCAGTTGTACAATTATTTTCGATTCCAACTATTCTCTAACAATCGTTTAGCGGTACACACACCCTTTTGCTTGTGCCGTGCGCAAAGGCCTATCTGTAAAATGAATCCATTGAATTCCGTCAACATGTTGCTCAAAATGACAAGCCACGACGTCTTAATCCTTTTTCGTTATTCTGCCTGTAAATTCACGATGAGTAGATGAAATCCTCTGCTCGAAGCCGGCAGTTACTTAGCGCAATCTCTGCTTTTCTATTTGACTTTTACCCAATCTAAGCTACTAAGTGCCTGCATATAATTAAGTCGCTTAGACGCCTATCAGCAGAAACACTTCATAAATTTCGGGAGACCTCAGACCCATTGAAAATAAAGTTCGCAGAAATAATACTCAATAGAGAAAGATATTTTACCAAATTGGGAGTATATGAGCACGAATCTGTTAGTCCCTTACTTGTGAGATCGCTCGTAAATTCTGACATTCATTCAATTTTGGAGATTATGGTTGCTTTTGTTATATGCGAGGCCCATCCAAACGAGTCAAATACCTATGTAAGATCTGCACAGACAGAAAGTCTTAGTGAACTCACATATGTTCCTTAGTTGCTCACTTACCTTGCTTTAATCTTTTAGATTGAATCGCAACACGTTCCGCCATGTCGATACAAGACACCAATATTATTCTCGATTCACTTGATTCGAGTAGTCTTCCTAAACAGTAAGATTTAGTTTGACCTTTCTTAGCATTGGACATATGTTTTGATTTATACGGCTCTATTTTCAGACCTCATTCTACCATTTTTCTACGATGGACGTAAGTGTGATCGAGATAATAGTTCCCTCATCCAGTCTAATCCACCGTGTTCCGTCGTATGAGTATTGCGAAAAGCTAAAGTGTTGTGGGGTATTTATGCCCAGACTTAGACGAACGCCACCAATATCAAAGAAAAGAACCCCCATTTTGAGAAATGTTTCCGATGCTTAAAACGATACAATAAGTTCATAAAATCTTCCATCTTTAAAGACTTGGCAATCTACCAGTACTGCCGAATAATCTGTGTGACCTTTATGTTCCAATGAGAGGTACCATGACATATCCTGTTCGACCGTAGCCTCATCAACGTCACTTGTAAGTTCTGTTATGCTGTTTTGTGCCGGTCGTTACCATGACACTTGTTGAGATCTAGTTGATTTCCGAGGTATTTGAAGAGCAGTCTTTTAAGGGTTTTATATCTCAGCTCTTGCTGATGCTACCATGTAAGACCTATAATCAAAGTCTTCCTCCAATAAAGGCTTAATAAGAACCTTTCCGCATCTTAGAATTTTCGAACTTTTAAACTAATACATTTAGCTAAAGTTTTCTGTTGTTGGTTTTGCTTCTTCACATTTTTCCTCGTGGCCTCTGCTTGCTCGTGGACGTTGCTTATAAACACTTAGCTTTCGCGACGGTGCATTCAGCAACCAAAACGCCTTCCATAACAATCCAGTGGCAAAATTAACCACCTTTAGTGCTACCATTGGCTATCTCGTGATGATATCCCACCTAACTGGCATATTATATTGTCATTCAAAGCAACTGAGAGGAATTTCCAACATATTCAATTGCATTCCTTTTCCCAGCCATTTTTGGGTTGAGTAACTACCATCTTCATTTTGGGTCGCTTCATTTCACTGTTTTCGACGAACAGTATTCATGTACGGCTGACCTCGATCTGATATGCAGGTGCGCTCCTGAAGTTCTATTCCAGTGTGGAAAACACATTTCGAAGCAGTTTGTTTTCAATTATCCATTAGCTAAGATTTTTATGTTTGTTACCTGTTCAAATTCTGTCGATGAGTTCGTTTAAATCTTATTTTTTAATTTTCGCATTAAAAAAACATGCATAAGCGCATACATATCGTACCCAATATATATAAAAAAAGATAGTGTTTGGCTTTGTACACAAATTTCTACGTATCGGTCCCACTGATGTCTTACTACTGTTTTTAACATTTTTGTTGTACTAAGAATCTTACCTGAAAGAGCAGCATCAGCTCTTATGGAATACCAGCACTTATCTATTTATCATAACTCGATAACTAAGAGATCTTAACACTAGTGAAGCCGTGGCCCAAGTTTGAACTCGACTGCATTTGCCACTGCACAGCACCCAGCAAATCAACTGGGTCAGGTCACGTATCAGCCTTGTGTTGTTTATATATTTTCTGGTGTTTCCGTTCCGGGTAACGGTATTTAAAGGAAAACTCTTTGGATTAGCCTGTCTCTCTTGTAACCCCCCAGAAACGCTTTGTCCGTGAATCTGCGTTTAGTGAACTAAAACTAATAGCAACTGACAGGTTTATGAGCTACTTATTGGCAGCTCAGAAATGTAAACTTAATCTAGGAAGACCTATATGCACTGATTTTATTTCTTGGTACTAAGTTTCAAGAACGATTAATGAGTATACTCAGCGTTTATATTGACATTGCTTGGGATATATAAGTTTCTGCAGTGTTTTTGTTTCCGAATATATGACAACAAGGTTATGCTAAAAGTTACATTCTCTAGCGACTAGGTTGAAGTTATGAATATAAACAAAAGGTCGTGTCGGTCGATGATGGCATATTCTGTAGAACAGTTAACGCCTGGGATAAAAGAGGGAATGAACAATTCACCCTAGAAGAAGAATTCCAGGGGAAATTGTCACGAGGAAGAATACTCTTATTGTGCCCGAAATGCGCTGGTAAGCATATGACAGTTGAGAATCGCCTAAGATGCTAATGAAATGGAACGTAAGGCTGATGCGCTGCAAAAATGAATAAGTTCGCGCATATTTGTACTGTACAAGTGTTGCCAAGGGCCATTGAAGATGGCTTTTGGTGTCGACGAGACTTGAACATGCACTACATGTTTTTGATGTTTTGCTTGAAAAGCGGAGATAAGCTTGGCAAACACCGCTTTTATCAGATGTCTATTAGCTTTCGTAAAACATAGAGAGAAATATATCCAATGTTAGATACCAGGCATAAGCTTTGAAAAAAATGCCCCCTCAAAACCTACATCGGTCTTCAGAATTAGTGTTTTTTTAAAGTCATATTTGAAATAAACTTAAAACTGAATCAAGAGCTCTTCAGGTCAGTTGAGTTTAAATAGAGCCGAAATTGCAGGAAAAATAAAATTGTGCACTAGTGTATGTATATGCTGGATGCTCGAAAAAGTATTCACGGTTTTTAGACCGAAATTGAAGTAAATATTCGTTATACTTTAAAACAATATTACTAAACTAAATATTCGGTATTTTAGTGGATGACTTTGTCATTTTTCTGGTAATGCCATAAACCCATCGCTGTTGAACTTCTGTAGTTTCTGGATAAAAAATTGTGGTAAGTAAGTTTTGCATCTCTCCATTGAGACTACTATTAACCATTAAAACGTTGCAGAGCCCGAAACAGATGACCGTTTAGTCATATGGTATGGACTATGGTGTGCATGAAGTTTCCTATACAAGGTCTTTCATTTTTTGTCAGATAACTGAAGATCTACGGGATCTAACATCTTTTCTATACTGGTTACAGCGAATTTTTTTTCACTAGCTTGTTGTAATTGTGCTATTGGTTAAGGGTAGGGATTTAGATCTGTCGTCTTGCCACCGCAGTGGCCTATAGTGCATAATTCCTCTCAGATCCCAAAAAATCTGAAGTCTCATTTTCTTCGGCGTCAACCTAAATTTTCCCTTGGACTGTAGAACTTCTCCTAGTTTTGGTCACAATTTTTTGCACATTATTACCGTATTTGATCATCTTTTGCCACTCGTGATCAACTGCTTTAGAAATGGCTCGATTTCGTTGCCTGTCTGTAGAATTTCGCAATACGTATTCAATTAGCTCCCTAACGTCAAGCTTCTTCTAGCTAGCTTTCTTCAAATGATTCAAACGACGGTAGCTGTTTAATTCCTAAGTGATGTTATGTCTACTCATGTGTCGGTTTTGCTCATTTTTTTCAATAAATTTGCCAACTTATTGGAACTGATACAAGGGTTACCTTTCACATCAAACTATCCAGAATAAAAGTGACAAGGCCATCTTTGGGTCATTTCTTCTGATAACGCATATTGGCTATAAGCAGGATAATTCTTTATGAGCTTTGATAGCATTTGTACCGTTGTCATATCAAAACCCTAAAAATATAGCGAATTTCTGTGGAAATTTTACTTTTCTTTAAGGCATTCTATCTTAAGACAGACTAAAGGCATTCCAAACATAGACCATTCACTACTAACAAACCTCAGCTTTCAATGCCGAGCCGATGTGATTCATGTTACCCGAAACGTATGACTTTAAGGCCGTCAAGCTTGAAAAACGTTTATTGAATACCCAATATGTACTCCTCGAACCTGCATGTTCTAATTTTTTACGGCCAGAAACTTAGCTTTCTAGACCATCAAGCGATCCACTTAGCATTGCAACAGATTTCAAAGTGTACTTTACTCAAGTATACCTAGAACGTACAACAGTCTACAATACAGGTTTCCTTTGTTACAAATATGTGACCGTAGAGCTCTACACAACTACCGGTACTTCCTGAAGTTATAGCCTCTCTATGCCATATGCATGACAAACTACAGATATATATATATATGTAAATCTGGTAAACTGTATGTCGCTACCTATTATAAACTGGCAAACGCTTTGTCCATCGCAAGGACAAGTGTCCGTTTTTCTTTTTCTATATAATAATACATTTATTCTAAAAGCAAGAAAACTAAAAACAACAAATAAACATTAACGTGAATGATCTTTTTGCATAAAATTCATTGATTATATAAAATTTATTTTAATGAAATGAAAATGATAATAGAACATTATTTATAAGGTAACGAAGCGCACCTGGTAGTGTTTGATAACGCCTTTCTTATTAAAACGAATCTCGTTATATATGGAAGACTTAGTCTTATTGTTTGTTGGTTGCGTATAGCAGCGTGACGGTTTTTACCAGCGGAAACGCACTTTATATCAAGATGTCGATTCTCCGATTATCGTCGGCTCTATAATTTCTGAGGAGAAGGCCGCCCTAGCTGACCGTCTGCTGCCTGGCGGTAGCCGACCTGACTTGAATGGCACTTTTCAAGGTACTCACAAGATTCTTGTAGCCTATTGGAAGATTTCTAAATTGCTTTAAAAAATTATTTTTTTGTGTAATTGCATTCGTTCCTCTTAAATTAATTAAATTGCAGTTTTTAACATATGTTAGATTATGTAATTAATATATAAAGTTCACAGTAGTCACAAAGAAACATTTCATAAGCGAAAATTGAAGTTCTATTTTAAAAAGTGTATTATCTAAACATTTAAGCACTGCTTTGGTTAAAAATGCGCCAAAAGATATCTAAAAGTATAAAAAGATATCTAAAATATCTAAAAGAATCCCTATTTCAATTTCAAACTCAATCCAAGAAGGTTCTTTATTTTTAGAGGAGGGATTTTGTGTGTCTTTTTCAGCTCGTCGGACGGCATGCAGCACATCAGATTCTACCGATTCTGAGACTATCAGAATTTCTTCGAACGATGAGTCTTATGCGCGACGAAATACACCAAAAAACCTTACGGCCGCCAAAACAAAATTTACGATGGCGGCTGTGTCGAGGACCTTACCTCAACTTAAACTATTCCCTACTTCGTCGCAAGATTTGTTACGGGAAGCGGTTACTGACACGGCTTCGATGTCTTCACCCGAACATACGGGCTCACTTAGCTTCAGTCGGGACACCCACAATGCGGGTAATGAACGCGAAGAAGAAAGCTTAGATAGAACACTGGTGTCGCGTCGACTCGTGAAAGATCTTGATTCGGACGAGAAGACGGATAGTATGGAGATGCTACCCTCAACATCCGTTTTGCAGGGGAACCCTTGTTCCGACGTCAATGCAACGAGCAGCACTCGAACCGTTCGGAAGAGATGTCCATCAGCAAAATCGCATCGATTTCAAAAAAAGCCTCATAATAGTAACTTAGTGGTAAGACTTGTTTGGTTCTGTGTGAATTCAAAAGGAACATTCGCGTTAGATATAGCTTGCCAGATAAATAGGTTAAATGAGCCGGAATTAGAATATTCCTTGTGATTAGTGCGTATTTTTTCGATGGTACGATCCAGTCGGAGCCCTATAGTGGCGTCTAATCCGGAATCCGACTGAGATTGACGCGTTGATGCTGTTAGTTTTAATTTTATACTGTCTAGGTCTTCTCCATAAAACAGTATTAATTGATTTCAGTGGTTGTCCAAACCAAGGAATATACCTAAAAAATTATTATTGTCATCTCTTCATTATTCTGCATGCTGCACAGTGTGGATTTAAGTACCTATTTTCTGTTAATGTTTTTTTCAAAAATAAACCTCTTAATTAATGTTGAATCAACATCCGTATCCTGTTGCATTTGCTCTTGAAAAAGTGTTGACATTTCTGTTAGCAATAAACATAACACGATTATTATTGAAATCATGTAGGAACAGTTAAAACATTTGTTTAAGAAAAAGTCAGTTCTTAATAACGAGTAGCCTCTATCAACTAGCATGCATTTAAGTGCTTTTTCATATCGGTTCTGTTTGTTTGTATTTTTGATCCATGCAGAAACTGAGTGCCTCTACTACTAAGAAGTGTTCAGTTTTTGCACGGGTCAAAGTCTGAACGAGTCAGAACAGCCTCTAGGTATGCCGAAAAGTTCACGTAGTAATGTTAGACTAGCAGGAAAGGCTCCCTTAGCAACGCATAGAGCTGTTAGCACAAATCGCGGCGGTGCTGCGGGTAGTTAAAAGTTAGCTGGGTTTCATGTTTGATCACTTTTATTTCCGCGTACTGAAAACTTAAAAAGCACTATGAGTATTTAGCAGCTAACACACCGAATTAGTGAACATGGCATGATGCCGTATAGATCAGTTCTTGATACGTGTATAAATGTGACCCTTCATGTATATATATTGGCTTGTTTATGATGTTCTGCGGCTGACGGAGATTTTAACTGTTTACAAATGTAATAGGTGCTTGTATGTTCGTTCTTGATCCATATTCTCATAGGGTATAAAGGTAACACGTCCCAGTAAGGTTGAACACCGACATGGTGCTACAGTCGCTGATGTCGATGTCAAAAGGGAGAAAACTAAAGTTTCTAAAAAAGATGATACTCCAGTCTGTACGGCTCAGGCACCGGTGATGAAGCAAGCAGAAGAAAGAGAATCGCCTGTGGAGAGCGAGAATAACGAGACGATCGTAATGCCATTACGAAAACTTGTAAGTACGTTCCGGAGGGCTGTTTTACAGTCCAGCAAAGTATCTACTGCGCGATAATGTTGCCAACTTGTTAAAACCCTAAGTGCGCATCAATCCTACTTCTGTTCTAATAGTTGAAAATGTTGGGCCTCTAATGCCGAACTTATAATATTTGCACAGTAGAGAACAAAACCAGTAGATGTATCCGTTCCGTGTTCGTTCTTCATCTATAGATGACATGTGTTAGAATCATAATGACGAACTACTACGCTATAATCCGTTCTAGCACGATCCACATAGCATCCTTTTAGCGTGGCGCTCTAGTAGCTTAATTGGTGATTCTAATATGATCATCACCTATTCAGCTCTGGTTAGGCGTATTACACAAATTGCCACTAACGAGTTGTTCGAGTATGGGAAACTATGTATGACCTTAAATACAACTCAGCACGCGGTAATGAGTGTTGCAAAACTGTAGTATAAATATTGAAACTAGTAGTGTATACAACGATATGTTTTCCAGGGTATCTGCGGAAATTTATCGTTTTGTTTTACTTCAGCTTCACAGCTAACTACTACTCTATTTTAAAAATTAATTTTAGTATATCATTTTGCGCGTCGCGTGAATTTTGATGTAGTCGGAAACGTTTTATGAAATGCTCAAATTTTATACTGTTGTACAGGACGTGCTAGTGCCGTGGGCTGAAAATCAATTAGCGGCGGCTGTCTTCAATGAGACCATTGATGATGCTCGACATAAAACTCAGCCGAGTTTGCCGGCCGCTGGCCGTATCCAACACCCTCGCCCGGCTAATGTTAAAACATCGACTCTCACTAAAAAAAGTTCGCCTACGTTGGCTCGAGCAAGCGCTTGTTTGTCCTTCGTGGAGTTGAGCAGGAAAACTGGTACGCAGTCTCTAACCAGATCCTGCATAAGTACAATGTCCGACTCACAGGTTAACCTAGATCCTCCAGAGACTACCTTGAATTGCAGTTCGTCTTTAGAAGACCTGTTAGATGTCAGCATAACAACGTAAGTTTCAGAACTAAAAACTCAATAAATCTTTTCTTAATTTTAGCTTCTACTTCTTCTGGCATTTTATTAAATTATTTTGTTATTATTATGTTATTGTCCTAGTCAGTATATAATATCACTCTTTCGGAACGATAAGTCTGATTATCTGTAAGTTATAAGAAGTTGACGAGAATTTTCCTTATTAATGTATATCCTTTTTCTGTTGTTATCAATCGTGGCAAGATATAATATAACTAAGACAACAATGATAAAGGATGATTTACTGCTACTTTTGTGCAACTTTGGTACAGTTTGTATGTGAAGGATTTCAAAATGCCAAAGAGCCGGGATCTGGTTTTGCTCAAATCGAGAAAATCATCTTTGTTATGTAAAAACTAAATTATAAGGTGGAAGAATGATGAATATAAAAGGTATAAGGGGCGTATTTTTTTCCTTTAAGCTTCAACAATCAGTGCACTGCGTTTTTAAGCCGAGTTTGGCAAATTTCGTTCGTGTAACTTCTGCAGTAGTGCCATGTATTACATTGGAGCTAAACCTTTTTAATCCAGCTTAACGTGCGTTTGATACGAATCTTCTTATATAAGTCAATAAACTATTGTCATGTATTTGTCATGGGTATTGAAAATATTTAGAAAACATATAGATAGCTTGACCTTAGACAACTTATATTATAAATTTTTCAAGGTATTTTGACAGGTAGTCGGAAACACTAAGAAGAGGGAGGACACGTGTAACTTAAGTTCGATAAAAAGGAGTTTAAGCCTATTTTTCACTGTGTACTGATAACTGTTTTGTTATCACAATAGCAAGACAAATGTACTCCTACGGAAAATCCACAATTGTGGATTCGACTATATAATCCGGTATCGACCCTATGCGAGACTAGGCATCCCTTTGCTGAAGACGTACATTTCTACAAAATAATTGTGCGACAGATCAAACACCAAGATAATTAGGTTTTAAAAAAAGATTATTATAGTGACTCAGCGTTAATGATGCCTTTTGTTTTTCTAGTTATAACTTCTAGCACAAGCGTTACCTCTATCTATTTATGAATGACATTAAATCTTGTATCGCATTTTAGGAATAAAATCTAGTTTTAGGTTATTAGATAGAACGTACAAAAAAAATTATTAGATCTTACATGCAAACTGCGACCACAAAAGGTAAACGAAGCAATTCATCTAATCTACTGTTGCTATTCAAAAAATTGGTATCCTGATATCCCGCAAAGTCTAATTCACAATAATATCCTATTTTAGGCGATGTAGCGTGCCTTTACCAGAGCTTTCAAACAGATGGGCAACTCTGTTGAAGTCCCTCCGAACCTCGGTGGAAGCAACATTACGGAGTCATGACAACGGAGATCTTGGGTCTCACGCGGGCTGTCCTGGTCTATTGGAGTACCTAGATATGTGGTCTCAACTGAAGGTTCTCATCGATAAAGCCAACTCGGTTGAAAACGGCAGTGTCTTAAGGTATACTCTTTAAGTTTAGCATAGACACTTTGAGAAGGCTATAATAAACACCTTCGCGCTCAAATTCTTTCGTAGGCTAACAATGGCACGTCATCTTGCAATGTCCATTACTTACTTGCGAACGATACTTTAAACTACGTCCAATTAAAGTAAAACCCCGTAATATATAAAGAAAATTTAAAGGTTACTCAAATTCAATACTATATTTCAAGCAATTTGAATCAGAAAATGACGGAGTTCACGGCTGTCATTCGTTACACTTTTGATGCATTGAATGAGTGTAATGTAGCGCTATATCTATATCCTTGTTTTTTTCTCTTTGAAAGTACAACGTGGTGCTAGGAGCACATTTATGTGGCTTTGCCACCTCGCTTCCAGCTCTTCTAACTCGTCATTGTCTAGGTTAATAGAGATCTGACACAAGACTTTTTACGCATCCAAATGTCGCTGAGTTTCAAGCATTTCGCCTTTAATGCGAATAATTTCCAAGAGTGCAAATCAGTCAGACGAAAGGCTAACAATCTTTGTAGAACTTGTGATGACAAAATTTCTATCTTTTACTGATCTTCTCGTTCGGCTAGCCTGTTGTTTTACATAATGCAACGAAATGCTGCGTACAGCGTACAGCATATTGGCGTGTGTTGGCTCATTTGGAACCTTTGTCGTAAGTGATCTTACCTAGTAAAAGCCAACACCTGAATTAGAAATGAAATAGAAAAGCGTGATACTCTGTGTAATGGTATGTGGAAGCAACTTCTTGTTTGCTTGTTAAGAAGAGGAGATAAGATCAATGCTGAAGACGAACAACCCTGAAAATTTGATTCTCCCTATGGAGAACCCAGAGACAGAAAAACGTTTGCTCTTGTGCCTATACAAGGGGAAAGGAGCGCATGTTGACTGTAAAAGTATTATTCCTTAAAGCCGTTTCTCACATAGAACAACCGTCACGCAAAGATTGTGAAAAAATGCGATACAAATAAATTTTCGATTCAGACCTGATGAACATTTAAGAAATAAATCAATTAATAGAAAATACATGCTTTTAGTATATGGGGGCACCCTCTAATTAACGTTGAAACAGCTCAAAAACTTTTGCGATTATAATATTCTGTCGCAATGTTGCATTGACCAAATTAGCGATAATTGAAAAAGGAAGTATCAGGCAATACTACTGCTACTAGTTGAAGAGTTCTGTAAATGTTGTAAGTCATTATTGAATAAAAAAAGTTCTTAGGAAACATTCGCATAGAATGGGCAAATAGAAACTTAAGGCTTAGGATATGCAATTGAACATGAAACGATCCATAAGATAGCCCTCCGCTACACTACATAGAGACGAACTAGAATTGCTACAAGCAAGGTGCAGGGGCTACGTAAATGTGCTGCCAGCACAGCTAGTTTAAAAAGAAAGGACATTTTATATATGTAGTGAAATAACGTACCCATTCAATACATTGAAGACGGTTGACAGCTGAAAAGTTTGTCATCGTTTGTAATCTCCAGTGTGATTTTAAGGCTAAGGCATTTTACTTTTAATTTAATTCAACATAGGACTAATGAACATTTCGTGAAGTTTATTCTGAGCAGATTACCAGGTAAAAGAAACTTGAATCTGTAATTGTAGGTCATGACCGTAATCCATATAATTAAAACAGAGAATTAAGAAAAAAATGTATGACGTGGCCGCTACCGACGATAGTGCTCAACCATATCGTAAAATGTGTTCAGTAAAAAATATAATATAATTTATTACACTTTTATATGTATATAAATGATGTTAAGCCAACTTATATATAAGCTGGCTCAACATCTTATATATATATATGTATTTATAAGGATGTTTCTTTGATTCTAGACGTTGGCGTGAATCTCGTATAAGCTCACATATCTCCGACATCTTAATGATGCCAATGTGTCTTCCCGCCGATACGAATCCAGTCTCGCTACCTCAAAAGCCCTCCGCTGATCCTTCTGTCATCTGCAGGTCTGCTTTGTCTAACAATTCAAATTGTGTCTTCGCATATGATTGTCACAAAAGAAAATAGGTAGGAGTTAACTATAAGTGGCTCATCAATTCAAAGATAAATTAGCTTTTTAATTTTTCAGGACAGATTGCTAGTCATTCCTGAACTAATTTTATGAATGAAATAAAAAGGAATTCCTGAACGTGATATTTTTCTATCTGTTAATTACATGATTGTATAATCGAGAGATAACCTGTATATCCCATGATATGTTTCACCTTTCTAACTCTCAGTTATCTGTGCCTATAGTGTGGGCTAATTTTTTGATAATAACGAAGGTAATCTTTACTTTATTCGATTTTTTATTTCGATTATTTATTTAATCGACGTGAAGTTTCTAATATATTAGGTATTTGTATCAAAATAAGGTATTTGCTTTAGCTTAGAGGTACAGAAGCAAAGTCCGTAACCATTCATTGTCCTGCACAATTTTCAGTCAACTGAGAGCATCTGAATGGCGAACTCTAGTCGAAGCAATGAGTATCCTGCGGGATTCAGCGATGGCGACAATCACTGATGAACGAGAGGATTAGCAAAATCAACAACAAATATCTATCAACGCCGTAGTCGCGAGAATCGTTTGCATCATAGTGCAGATAATTTATGTTTGACATTTATTATATTGACTGAGATGTCTGTTATAATAATATGAAAGTCGTTTACGCTAAACAACGAAAAACCTGTATAAAGGGTTATGATTCTAGTGCCAAGTTTGAATTGCGGATTAAAGCGTAATATGTAAATCCTAAGCGCAGAACTTGGCTAATAATGAAAAACATACACTTATGTTTCAAAACGCGCCAGATAATTTTCAAGCAACATTATCACTGAATTTTTTGTGAAATGAAAAAAGTTGGTTTTTGAAATGTCGTCGTAAATTCCACCAGCAGTGCTAAATGTGCTTACATTTGAGGACGGCAAAATGTCCGAATGAGGTACTTGTTGTGAAAAAGGAATAGATAGATATAGAAGAATCTGTCGACAAACTATTTAAAACATATTTTACGTAAATAAACCGAATACCTAATTGGCCGGCATGGGGACCAATATAAATCGGTCGAAAGAAAAAAATTCTATAATAAATAACGAATTTCTTCCGCATGTGAACATGCCTGCGCAACTGAGATAACCTACTTAGGTTTAGACTTACAAACGTTTGTAAGATAATGAATCGCAATCATAACGATTAAAGGCCACAGCGACACCTCAAACATCGGAATTTATTTATCCATATATGATATTATTAGAGGCATTTTTCTGTCCAGTCGCCCTATTAAAATGCCCTACAAGTAGTCACTTTGATTTGATTATACGGGCTATTGGAGCTAAGTCGCGTATTAGAGTTTTTCGTCATAGGTTGAGCATTTTTTCAATAGGTAAGTTCTTCTCACAAGGCATAACATATAAAGTTTAGTTTTTATAGGCGATTTGTTCAACAATCATTGAATGTCTTCTAAAGGTTTATATTAAAAGGCTATTTTTTTCTTTCAAATTCTACAAAATAAGAATTAATTTGCTTTAAGATTTTTTGAACTCTTATAAAAGGAAAAATGCTGATTTTTTTGCATAAATGATTAAGGAATTATAAAACGTATCGATGTGGACGATCGTAAACTGATTATTTGCAACGGAAAAATGAGCTGAAAACAACACAATATTGGTATTATGAAAGCATTCCAATGGTCGAACGACGGCAAACTAGATATATATTTAAAATGGTGTCCCGAACTTCGCTAGCTTTGCATCAAGATAATGGGATCACGAGTACAGGGTAGCGGAATCAATGCAGTAAAATAACTACGAAAAAGTTTATGTTGGACCTCACTACTCACTGTGAGAGAGAAGGGAAACACAATTCCACCAAGGAAATAGCATAACTGAGACAAGGTAATTGATCCACTGAATAAGAAAAACAAAATTACTATATATGGCTGCACCAATATAACAGAATTAGTGGTACAGGAACTCAAAAGCTTTTTCAACGGTCTACTGTATGAACAAGTTTTAAAAACTTGTAAAATTACCTCCTTGGTAGACCATTAAGGACCAGCCCCATTGCAAGGTTCAGCCGAAGTATTATATCTTGCTCAGCTTATCTGGGCCTATGAAACGGTACGTTGACTATTTGCCAAGCTGTAATTTGGGTTAGCGATCGTCGTATATTTAACTCAAAAAAAACTCAAACCAGAAAAGTGTAAACGAAAGCGCAGTCGAGTAACTCTCCATCTCTTCATGCTAGATGGAACATAACACCACATAGATACCATTAACATAGCAGCAAAACACAAAAACTGTTAGAGCATTGCAATGGAGGAACGGAATAGCTGCAAAAGGGTTATTGCAACACGGTAATCGTTTGTGCATAGAGAGGTATAGTATAGTAGTATGCATAGAGTAGGTATAGTAGTAATTAACTCTGATGTGATTTGAACGAGTCAGATATGTTGAATTAACCCACGACAATATGGGTGTGAGCCAAAATTGGCATGTTTAATCCAACAAATTCTGAGACGACAGCGCGTAGTTGTCGGAGAAATATTTCATCCCGATTACCCACAGTTACGAAAATATTAAGATTTTGGATGCAATTCGAGTGGCAGATGCAAGAGCCCTGAAAATTATAACAATGCAAAACAAAGGAATATAACTGAACTGTACTTATCAATTTACGTTGGACATCTTTTTGATTTGATCGTAAATGTCAAACAAAATAAGCTGCAAAACGACTGATATACTAAACGACATTTGTGCATTACCGTTGGCATAAACCCCATTGAAAGTACTGGTTGACTCTTCATTTACGACTTACAGATATGGATAGAATGTTAAGGTAATAAATCATAAACAAATGTGAATTAAACTTTTTTTTAGAAAAAATACTTAAAGTATTGAGCTAGCTATCCTAATTATTTTTCCCATTCTTGCCTGGGTGATCGAGGCCCCAAAAACACAGCCAAAGTGGCGTGTGGTATCTTAGTCTCTGTAGCTATAGTAAAAATAACGTATCCAACCGGCGAATTCTGGAAAGATTTCAAACAAAACTGTTCTGTGATACGTTCAGATGTGGAATATTTTTTAATCTTAAACTCTATTATTCACTTTACAGCCTGAACTTTCAAAAGCTAGCATTCGCCTATAACCACATTTTTCACAAAAAGATACTCCCAAGTATATGTTTCTAGGGTCCAATAATGCAGTTTTGACTTCCCCTTCAAGACGTTTTGAACTAGCATAAATGTTGTTATTAAAACGACTAGTTCATTTTCAACACTAAGCAAATTAACATTTCGATCCAGCTACATGCCTTAATAGGTAAAGTCAGAACCCATGTAGAATATAGACTTGACCTGCCTAGGTCTTTTCTGGAGTGCAGTTACCCTTGTGTAGCTAGCTGTAGGTCAATTACTAATTTAAAGTAGACTACTGCTTTATATTATATCTATAAAATAAGAACCAATTTTTCGATCGCCGAAACTGAAGTTCGTTCACCCACTGTCAGGTTGCCTTTGTGAGTTTATGAACACTTTATTTTCTATTTAGAACCTTAGCTTTCTGAAGAACCACCTGTTAAGGCCTTGCTTGAAACGCTCTTCGAATTTTTGCTTGACCTCCAGTCGAGCTAGGCGTTTACGGTTAGGATCAGTAAGCGCATTACGGCTCACCTTCTTGGGATCAAAGGAGATATCCACTGTGTATCGAGTTGGCATGAGATGATTGTAGTTGACAAATTTGACAAAAGTCTTTATCTTGCACCTACGCTCGATCTTCTTTTTTGATAGTCGAGTGATGATCTGTAATCACAAAGTGACCAGTTAATTCTTAAGTTAACAAGTCATCTTTAGGGTTTTTTGCTACTGTGTAATGTAGTACAGTGATATTAGTAAGCTTCAATTCATTTGAACTCTTTCACATTATAATGGTGGGTAGCTAAAAATACGACGTATGGCATCAATCCAACAAACACGAACACTCAGGCAACCCCACTAAGAAACAGTGAAGCGTAGTTACGGCTCACACACCTTTCGGGGATAGCGAGCGATTCCGGCAATGAGAGCCTGCGAGTATGGCTTGCCGTCGTCCATCTGCTTGACGATGACGGCTTTCTTGCCGGCGTATCGTCCGTTGAGAACTAATACTACCTTATTCGGTTTCATTATCTTGCCCATCGTGACGCTGAAGTGCGGCAAATTATACACGCATAGATTGGTTAAACAATTGTTGGTTGCATCATGGATATTTTGAGCAGAACGATACAAATAGTTTTATCGTTCAAGTTGCTTGTTGCTTCAACATACATATATCAATATACCAAGCTTCAATTAAGTTCCCATGAAAAAGCCATTGACATGCTGTTGATATGGAAAGATTTTCAGGTGAATATAAGATAGATGCACGACACCATCGAGTAAATAAAGCGATAGTAAAAAAATCATAGAATACTCTTTAACCTCAAATAAGTAAGCATCAAAGTCACGTATGTTTACCTAACAGTTTGAATCAAATTTAAAGTTGCACAGCCGCTTAATGATATTACTTAATGTAAACAAAATATATAGTTGATTTTATGTCAGAGGCTTTAATCAGCTCACATCGTACCGTCCAAAACAATAAAAGTAACTGGAATAATCACATTATTATTAAAATTCCAACGTCTGTGATTCTGCTATAAATAACATGTGCCTTCCATACATTGAATAAAAACTTGTTCTTTTTCCGCAAATCCTTTCTACTATTGTTCAAGTAAACCTCAGGCAACCTCACAAACTTGACCGATTTAGGTACTAGCAAACAGCCTTTTAAGGTTTAGGCTCATCTAGTTCAAAGTGCAGGTATCGAATTATCGCGGATAAATTATTTGATTTCAACAATGTTCAGTGATCGGCCAAAGGTTTTCCAAAAAGGTTTATCCAAGAAATCCCGAACACCTGTGCACATGCAGTTTTAGACACAATAGAGATAATTATAACACAAGTATTCCAATGATGCACGTCTTAATTTCAACGATTTTCAGGGATAATTTAACATACTTTAAAATGCGGCCTCACGGCACCACAACAACGTCGAAAAAGGAAGTCTGAGCGGAAATTCAGACCCAAAACCACTCGAGATGTTTTTATGCAGACAGCCGCTCTAAGTACTCCAGCGCAAGATCGAAAAAATAATGGTGTTATATATTATCAGTTAAAAAAAATCGTAAATGTGCAATCGTAGATATTTAGTATCGACTGTCTAATGTATATTATGAGAACCCCAATCGACTCTTTTTGAATTGATCACGTTGGAAGCTCTTATGACGTAGGGCTTGTATCTAGCAGACGACTAATAAGGAAAGACAGCTAGACAAATAAGTAGAAAGAAAAGCCTGCGTGCTTCTGACACTAGAGAATACGCAGTAAAAAAACGTTTTGCCATAAATCCTTGACATTCGGTTCCGCTTACTGTGCAGTTTACATCGGAGATTAATTGTAACTTTATTGTTGAGTTAGCCTAAAAGTAAACAAGCGAGTAAATAAAGACGCATTCGACTCTCGATTCACGATGGTTGTGTATAATATATACATCTTTGATAATCACGGAACGTTCCTGTTTTATTCCGAGTACAAGCGAGCAAAAAAGGCGGAAATGTCACATTCAGAGGTGGGTATTGAAGAATAGGTTCTAGCTTGTTTCATAGGAGAGGTACAAAAAGCATTTATATAATGGACGATGAATATCATTGATTCAGAAAAATAAACTACGTTCTTACTAAAATGTTTAGTAAGACTTTGTAGGAATTCAGTGGAAATTGAGCTGATTTGCCAGAATTTATTTACACGCAAGAATGCCAGAGTGTGAAAGCGAAAGTGTGATAGCGAAAAAGGATCGGCGCATTTCAGCAGCCACATGGACCTGTTCTTGAACTGTCTGGATGACGAGGCAGGGCTTAAACGGTGCGATACGTATCATGTGGAGCCTGATTTTTTATATTTCAATTGCAGTACACGATACAAATTAATGAAGGAAACACTTTACTTAACCCTATGATTGCGCTAACAATCGCTTTTTACGCATCTTTGTTTCATTGCAGGAGGGCAAGCTTATGTATGGTTTACTATATTCATTGAAATCGATGTGCCAAAAGCTTTCATCCAACGATTCATCAGCGTTTAATTGTTATCGGACAAACAAATACAAACTGAACTACCTAGAAACAGCATCAGGTCTTTGGTTTGTGCTAAACACTGATATCCATGCTCTCGGAGTGAAAGAGCTACTCCAGTCATTATATCAGCAGGTTAGCATTCTCAAAAATCAATGGACAAGGTTGGCTAAGTCTATTGGCTGTGGATAATTATATTCTAATGATAAAGAAAGCCAACCCCATCATTGGTACTACTGTTTCTTTGCCTAATCACACTATGTAATGTACTGTGCCTTGAGGAGCGTTAGTGTTTAGAACAAGGAACTCAATTATTCACATTTTCTTGTCCCTCCTCATTAGCTGATTTCAATATATTTGTTAGCGTATGTTCCTTTAGTAGGTCCCTAGTATAGGAGAAAGCGCGCACCTCTATCTGTATGGTTCAGGATAGATGTTTATCCTCCTGTAGTTCTTTATAGATTAAAACGTAGACCATAGAGAACCTACTACGAAATCGATCAGACAACCGTTTCGTTTCATCTTATACATATAACATTATCATAATATAATAATTTAAGGCAAAATTTCACTCATTACAGCATGCATTTTGAAAACCGTTTTAGGTTTATGTCGAGTATGTGGTGAAAAACCCCGAATGTGACAGGGGTAAACCGATTGAGAGTGCCCTGTTCAAACACGAAGTAGATGAGTTCATCCGAAGGTCTCCACAGTTTCGATAGCTCGAGTGCCGCGAACAGGTCCCTTCAGCACCACATAACTGTGTATTCGAATGGATCGTTGTAAATAGTTCATATGTAAGATAAGAACGAAAAAGAGATACGGCATTGAAGTCCTTGTATAAAAAATATATATACGTTTTATGGTATTTTGTTCTCATTTCAAAAGGTATACACACATGCGAAATTATTCTTATGTAGTCCGATAAATAGAGCAGATATTTTACACTAAGCTTACTATTTCAGTCTTCGATCAGTGTTTATAAGCAACGAATTTTTCCATTCCAATTTATCGTCGCCCACTTATGTATATTTCTTCTATAGAAAAGGTGATCCATTATAAAGTTTACCTGTAAAAAAAATTTAGTCTTAGATTATGGTGTAAGATTGCTTTACGGCTGGGCTTTCCGCTCATCAAAACTGTAGTAGAAACCATGTTTCTTCGGTTTATTTTTTTCTAAAGGTTTTACCATATATCAAAGAGCTTAGCTGTTTGTTGTTCCATCGATTGTAGCAATTCGGAATAAACCAAATAAAAGGAAAAAGTGCTAATGTAATGGCTTCTATAATTATTTCACAACGCTAGCAATACGAGGGCAAATATTTTTCTTATAATTCACTCACATCATCGTTGTACTGTAGTGCAGCGAAAACTTGTGTACGATAGTGGGGAAGTCCCATAAGTACGGGAATACCGGAAGTGGATAAAGCAGCTTGTACTGGGGATAATTTTTTCAAAACAACGTTCAACTCATTAAAACTGATTAAACCTTTAGAAAGAGCCGGGATGTGACTTATAATTGCGTTATTATTTTAATAGTTGTGTTGTTCTTGTTTTAAAATTGAGGCGTGCTGGCGTGGAACATTTTACTCGCATAATTATAACTTAAGTCTGCTACCATTAAAAATTCAATCTGATTTACATTTTCGTAAATTCGAGCTGTGAATTTTGCCAGTTTATTGCACATATTTTACTTAAAGGCAATGTAATATTTTTATAGGAAATATGTGCTTGGGATACCTTCCGCATCATGTTTTTGCCAAAGGATTATTTTGTTGCCTGAAAAGACACTTGGCATTTGTACTTGCATTGTACTGATCTATAAAATGTGTTATTGTCGTTTTTTCAAACACACAATTCTGTATGAATTAACTGCCCGATGTTTCACCCGAAGAACTAAATTCACCAAAATGTGTGAAACAGATCGATAACGCGATAAGCGAACCGACGATCACAAGTTACGGTTTTTTTTTTAACAGAGAAACTAGTACTTTATGTACTATTTAACTTCTTTCCATTTATTATTATTTATGACTCCTTTCCACATTCAAGCTGTTCATACACTAATCGTATCTCGTGTCCAGTTTAGGTAACTATGTTGCCTTAATCGTGTTAATTTATTAGTTTTTCAATATGATTTCCTGACTATTCGGTTTTACATTAGCTCTCGGAAACGAATGATTTTTCTCAAATTACGCGGTTATTACCGGTATAGCTCTGTAACTTTTGTTATAAAAATATGGACTTATCTTCTTACAATATTACTCGGTCTTTCTGCTTTTATTTGATGATGGATTTTACCTACAGTGAATCGCATAGCTGCTAAGCCAGCAAACATTTAAAATTTACCGCCTCCTCCCCGCTGCATCCCGGAGCAGCTGTGTGGGATCTACTTATGCTTTTGCTACATCCGTTCCTCATTGGGATAAACTTGGTCAACTGTTTCTCGAGCCCCGAGTACATATCTAAACGATCAGCCGTTAAGGGGCGCCGGGCCTTCATTTGGTGTGTGCCGCTGCTTGTTGTTATTATTGTTGTAACAACACTGATGGTGGCAATAGTAACAGTAATCGCTGTCGATCTTGTCTCCTTTCCAGCTGAGCTTAGTTGCACATTCCTGTCGTATGCGTTGTAGGTGTGTGTGTGTGTGTACGCATATCGATGTGCGACTGTGTCTGGTGAGAAGAACAGGAGGAAGCAGGCCGCTGACTTAGAGAGGCTCTTTATGCTGAAGCAGAAGCACTGGCAGCATTGAGAGCAGCAGCTCCGCTCCCTAGGACGACTGTCTCACCAGCCAGCAATGATCTACTAACAACTTCATAGGTTCGTGATCGTTGTCATAGTATACAGTGGTTCGGAGTGAGTGCAGTGCGTCCAGTTGATCTCCACGGATTCGAAGACATGTGATCCAGCGTCGAGACATTCACTAAAAGAATGTAGCACCGAACTGTGTCCGACCATCTTCTAGCGGGCCCGATTTCACTGGGCCAGCAATGATGGTGCCTGGCGCGAATGCCGCCAGCATCATGGACCGGCTGCGAGTGAAGCAGTACCGACCATGGAACGACATTTCGAGGCTCTTACGCCAGCTTGCCGGCGAGAAGCATCTATTCGTCGATACCGAAGAGCGTAGCCAACTGCAGCGGTGTCTCGACCTCTTGCAAAAAAGCATAAAAATCAATTCTGCTCAGGTTTGAAATCCCCCGCAGCGTCTGAACAGACATGGTTGTTTGCATCCGTAGACAGTCGCTGTCGTGTGTGTATCCATTGTTGTATTTAAGTGCTTGTGCCTGCTCTGTTCGATGCAACTATGCGGAGAGACATATGAACGTGCAAAGCAAATTTAAAAATACATATGCCATTATTTTACTTGTTAAAGAGGATGACAAATTGTCTACTGATTTATAGCTGATGTATGTGTATATTTCTACAAAGCTTGTCAAAATTTAGCGCTAGAATTTTCTAACATTTAATTGAGGGAATTCTATGGGGCGCAAAGTGATGCCTAGTTTCGATTAATTTTTTATTAAAAACAGCTTGTTGATAAAAACAATTTTTTTAATAAGCATTATGATGAAATGAAATAACAGTGGTATTTACAACTGCAACAAGAACTATCTTTTACCTAATACATTGTAAAATAACGCTCAGTCTCATGCTCTATAGTACATTCTGCTACACACTAATTCCACAGATTCATATTTATGTTATGCTTACTTATTCTCTGTTTCTGGTGTTCTTCAGGGAATGATAGAGCGCCTGGACACCATCACTCGTCAGCTAGGCCTTAAGCTAACAAAGGACCAAAAACGATCGGCAGAAAGAAAGCCAGTTGAATTGTTTGAAGTCTTCATCAGCTCCGACATGTTCTATGTCGAGGTGGTCGTCGAAAGCAACGGGCATGTTTGTGACGTTAAGGTAGGCCGTCACTCAATATTAATTTTAACCAAAAGTCGGCATTAATTAGCCATTACTGTTGTGAAAACGTGTTTTTTAAACATATTTTATTAAATTTATAAACAATTAATATCACTATCTCTTTCTTTACTTCTTTTACTAATTGTGTTTTTTATCGTTTCTGTATGTCGAATCAGGTCGCGCACCACGGCGACCCGGTTAGCTGTCCTGAGCTGTGCCAAGTTCTGCAGGAAAATGATTTTGTGACTTTTACAGCACATCTCGAGGGGCTAATCGCCATATATCAACTGAACTGCGAAAAGTCTCGAAAACAAAAGGCGTACGTGGCTTTGCAAGCTCTTGAGAGCGACCTGTCAAGAGTAGCCGAATTGCAAAGCTTTCTGAACGATCCCCGCCAGCTAGTTTGCAAGTCTCCGGTGGGCATATTACAGCTGCGTCGAGGTGGCTTCCCTATGCAGCTAACATTTTTTGTTTCGCCTTATGATCTAATTGATTCGATAAAATCCGCTCCAGGCTCCGGCACTTTGATTCCTTTTACTGTAGAAAACGTTCTCAACCGTAAGCTTGGCCAAAGCGTGTCCATATCAATCGAGAATTCGGGCCAGCACAAATTGCAGACCGGCAGCCTCATTACGAACACGGATGGTAAAATGCCAAATTTTGGCCCACTAACCCAACTGAATTCGGTCTCGCTGCCAGCATGCTTTACAATGAAGCTGGCCGCACCAATGCCATTAGATAGTGAATGCATCAAAAAGATTCAAAAAGTGACCGGTATCGAGATTCCTAATTCACAAGTCGTAAATTCGTTGATCGAGCTGATCACGAAGCGGAAACAGGTCGCGTATTTCGTTAAGCTTCCGGACCAAGACCACACATACCATATGAATGGTGGCCAGCGAAAAGGGGCTATGATCTCTTCGATTCCTTTCACGCATCCGACGCATGTTCCTCCTGTTTTGGAGTTTCTTCGTCAGCAGAGCCTATTCAATTCGCTGATCTCTTCCTGTGTACGTGACCAGCCAACGGCGGCGCCACAGAGTCATGTATTCGAGGTACGCGCGTCGAGCCTAACCTCACTGTGTGTATCCTTCGAACATCCACTAGACAACGAAAGCCTAGTGACGCTTGAGATATCGCTGGTCGATATTCTCGGTCTAAAATGTAAAGCCTACTTTTGTAGTCAGCTAAGTGAGCTCAATCAGTTTTTGAACGAAGACGCAGCAGCCAAAGTATTACAGCAATCATTTTCCATCCCTGTACTGATGAGATCTATCCTGAAGAAGGCCAAGGGGGGCTCAAGTAAGCCGCTGGAAGAGTTACAGTCGAAAACTATCTCAACACCTTCGTTTCTTTCCGGAGCTCCGTCGAGCGACGTCAAACGGGATCATTTCGACGGGGAGAACGTACCCAGCTTTGGTGACAACAATGGACCAGGATCAATGCAGCAGGTACGTTCGAACAAGCCACTGTGTCGAAAGAAAGTTGGTCGGATTTGTCGGCGAGAAACAGTTTTCTGACTTCAAATTCAAGGAACAGCTGCTTTCAAAGACCAGTCAAAAGTATTCGTTATGCTGTGTATTTGCATGTTATATGACTAACATAAGAATAATAGATAGGACATTATATAACATTAGTAAGCGATGTTATTACTAATAGCTCACGTCACGTTTCGGTACTTCATAGCATAAATGCCGATATAGATCCCGGACAGCCATGCCTCTTGCTGGCGTCATCGTGTTAAAATAGAATGTTTGTGATGGAAGCATATTATTGTAATTAGCCATATTCAATTTATTCAATAAATAAAGAAAAGTGAGATTTTTACTTTGGTTTATACGATCACTGTTTCAGAATTTTCTTTATATATACTCGTAAGCGCATACAAAATCCTTGGTTAATTCTATCGCTAAAAAATTAGATATATTCGTTTTTTGCTTCCTTTAATATGGTGTGTTACGAAATGAGTCAATTATCTAACGCCCGTTTTTATAAGTGCATATTACAAACGCAGCCATGGCAGTTTATTGTAGATGAATTTAGCGAAGGTATTTTGAAGAAGAATCTATTTGCACCTTGGCCAGCATCTTGCAAAATTAACCTCTTCGAGGCATCTTACGGAGACTACTTAGGTAGGCCCAAATTAACATTATCACGCGTGCGGCATTTGGTGTTCTTTCCAATATCATTAGCTTGGAAATTCTTTGTTGATATCTTTTCCTTATTATTTTTCTTTTCTTCTATTTTCCTGGCTTATAGGATTTGTTTGACCTCGAAAATATTAGCAACTTGCAAGGCGGGCTGACTCTAAATATGTTGGCAGATGATGGTCCAGCTCCCCTAAGCGCTGGACGACAAAATCCTTATCAGCAGCCAAGCGGAGGTGCCGCAAACGGATCAGGTGGACCTGGATCCCAGCTGCAGCGTAAGAGACCCCGTGAAGATGGGGATTTTTTAGACAACAGGCCCCTCGGCTTCCCTTTGGGGGCGACGGGGGGCCCCACAACTAAAGGGCAGTTGGAAAGTATCAACAATAACAGCGGTGATAACCAGCAACAAAGTGGTGGCCAACAGCCTCAACAAGCACAACCACTACAGTCGTCTACAACGAAATCAGTCGGCGATCAGCTTGGGACACAAATCGTAGGTGCCACATTAATACAAATGTTCATATACATCATAATTATTATTTCTTCTTTTTCCTTTATCAATTTTATTTTCTTTTACTTTTTATAATTTTTTTTTTATCAACTAGGTAAACGTATGCTTTTTTTTTATCAATCGCATCGTTAATAGACCAAACATCCATACAAGTGTGACCGTCCTCAGGACAAGAAACTGTATGTACCCCTTTTCATTTCGTTTCTAGAAACGGCAGCGTACAGACGGACCGATGGAGGATAGCGGAATTGCTATGTTGGCTACCGGTGGACTGAATAATGCGCGGGATTCAAAAAACTTGCGGGCTGGTGGGGACTCGGGTGAGTCTCCACCGGCGAAAACCCCTATCCCCTCGAATACCACGAGCAGTGGTGCTACCGGCGGTAACGCTGGAAGTTCGAATCCAGGCGGCGGTAACATTAGTAGTAGTGCTGGCAGCACAGGCGGAAGCAGCAGCACGTTTCACGGGATCGGAGCTTCTTCAGCCAGCGGGTCTCAACAACAACAATTTGTTTCAAGAAAAGACAAGAGTTCGTCGTCGTCGTCCAGTGGAACATCATCAAAAAGCGATGATAAAAGGAATAGCAGCAGCAGCTCCTCATCCAGGTACACATACGTACAGATACATCAAATCGCAAAGATTTGATAAAGGTGACTTCATTCGCCGACCTTAATGAGCGAATACTAGAACGCACCTACCTTACTGTTGATTTATTCAGTTTTATTTCGCAATGTTACATATAGCCTAGCTGGAAACTATAATTGGCGTGCACATCAATTTATCCCGTTACAGTTATCCCGTTCTGCCTATTTCACTTTATCATTGGGATGTTGAAACAATCGTTTTATCTTTGCTGTAGTTATTTCATTACCAGATTCTTATCTTAATAACTAAAGCTTGCGTTACGCCCTTACTAACACGAGCTGGACATAGATCGATTGCGGATCTTCATTTAATTAATTAACAAGGTGCAGTTCTCCTGAGATTTCGTTCCAGCTATTCAGTCATAGTAATTCTATTTTAGCGATTTAGTCAATAACGTTTCTGTGTCACAGTTAGTTAGGCTGTGTTGCAGCTACTCCATGAGAGTTCGTTTTTTTTCTATCAGAATGTTCGAGCGATTTCTTTGAAAATATTTGAAATTTGAAGATTTGAAAATAGCGCATTGCATTGTACCAGTTATCCGGCTTTCCAACTGCAGACAGTTCGTTAGTATCGGTGCATGTACCTTCTATTATAGAGAAAGAACCGTCTTCTCTAAATTTATTCTTTAATTTATACAGGGAGGAATTAGTTTCTTAATAGTTTGAGTAAGAGTTACTTGCCAGATTTTGTTGTACTTATGTACACGCATACATATTGTCCGTATCTATAAGACACGAACGTAAAATCAACACTTGTTTTCTTGTTTTAGTACGTTTAATTTGACTTATATTGAGATTTTATAGATTTGTCACTTTGTTACACTCCTCTCACTTTCCATTTGTATTGAATTTTCACATCCGCATATTCTACTTATTCCCACCCATTTCCACCGAAATCTACTTTTTATCCAATAGTGGCAACAATTTGACATCGCTGACCATTTATCGTGCACTAACTGCGTGCCTCTTTTATTGAGTTTGAAAAATAAACAACTTTTCTATACAAACCGATAATGTATATATAATTCAAAAGTTGTTCAGTTTACCAAGCTTAACAAGGCAATGGTTTTTGAAAAATGCAACCAGTCGTTAAAATTTAACGTCCAACCATCCTAGGATAAAAATGTGGCACGAAATATTTTTTGTTTCAAGCGGACAAATTTACAGAAGCATGGTTTAACAGTAAAATGGATTAAGTAGTCTTGTTATTGTTTTTAAAAATTATTGGCATCGCAATCTGGATTGCTCATATTACGTACGCGATTTCTCCTTTCCTTCCACTTGAATTTTTGAAAGGCCCTATCCAGTTTGACTTATTCGTGTGATTATATACGCATGCTTGTCCTTAGCCGGGATAAAGAGAAGCGGAAAGACAAGGATAAAAGTTATTCAAAAGACGGCAGTTCAAAATCATCTAGTTCAAAATCGTCATCGAAGGACAAGGACCACAAGACATCATCAAAGAGTAGTTCGAGCAAGGACAAGGATAAAGAAAAAGACAAGGAAAAGTCGAGTAGCAGCGGCGGAAGTAGTAGCCGAGGTACGTAATACATTGCTGCTAAAAGTTGAAAATGAAAATTTTTCTATATGGAGCTACTGGAGCTATACCGATCTCGTATGAACAAAATTGTATCATTGACGAAATCAAAGCACAATATTCAGAGTTGGCTATAAAGAAGCAGTATATCGACTACAAGTTGGTTTGGCGTGTGAGCTGGAATAGTAACAGGCGTGTCCTAACGATTTTTTGTGCCTTTATGTTACGTGGGTGGATATTCTGGTGCAGGAAGCTCTAGCTCAGGGCTGAGCACAGCTGGAGAAAAAGTCACGCAAAGTGGTTTGTCAATGGCTAAGTTTTCATCGTCGTCAGACGTAGGAGGCGGAAGTACCGCGAGCCCTAGCAAGTACGGCGCTTCGTCATCCTCTTCCTCCTCATCAGAGGGTCAACAATTTACCGTTAAATCGAGCTCATCCGCGCAAGGTTAGTTCTTCTAGCAAACGCGACCTTTAGATATGTATTATAGTCACTCGAATCGGTCAACTTTAATTGTGGAAACTTTAAGTTCACTATAACTAGTATGTATCGTCAAGATACTTCATGATTTATTTGTATAACGCATTTAGTATTAGGCTAAGCATTGTATTTAGATACCCACCTAAATATCTCAATTGATGTTGCTGGCAACTGATTTGTTGGCTGACAATTTATACAAATTTACATATATAATGTAACGACTTTTCTACACTTCTGTTTAGGCATCAAGTTGACTATTAACAAGGCTCGCACTTCAGAGAGTGGAGGGGGCGGCGGTTCGTCGAGATTAGGTTCGTCATCAAGCTCGTCATCAGGCGCCGGCGGAGGCAGCGCCGGAAGCACTGGAGGAGGTAGCGGTGGTAGCAACAGCGGCGGCTGTACCAGCGGAAGTGGGAGCAGTAGTGGCAGCAGTAGCAGCGGCAGTAGTAGCAGTAAGGCTTCATTCTCAGCTTCGTCCTCATCGTCGTCGTCGTCATCAAAACACAATCGAGATTCACCGAAGCCGCGAAGTCTTTCATCATCACCCTCTCATAAGACGAAGGTATCGCCATCGTGGAAAGCATCACCGAAGCATAGCTGTTCCAGTGGCAGCAGTGGCGGTGGGAGTGGCGGCTCATCTTCTGGGATGATTATGCCTCCGCCAGCTGACGTACTTGGCAACTCCTCTGTTGATCTTGTCGAGCAGAGATTACGGGCCCTTCACGGTGACGACTCTCCTAGTCTGACAGTGTCCGTTGGTGCTTCGGTCGGTGTTGGAGTGGCTGGGGCGGGATCACTGTTTGACTCACGAAATCCTACTGGTGGCCCTATGGGACCACCGAGCGCTGCAAATTCGTCGTTAAATTCCATCAGCCGACCGACACCTATTCTCACGGAGGATGAACTCATGGATGAAGCCTCATGCGGAGTGAGAAATCACGTATAATTATGCATATGTGAATAATGTCTGTATTATAGTTATAACAATTAAAGTATGGTGATGATGGACAAAGAAAATTATAAAAGCTTGCCAATCGAGAATGAAAAAGGTTTCAATACTGCACAATGGAAAAATATATATTATATATAATGTAAATGAAGTGTAAAGCACTGAGTAGGCGGAACAACCCTGGATATAGATATAAATAAATAAAGACCAATAACACGCGAACCACAGCAAACGATGGCGGCTGCTACCTCCCTATACCGTATCAGGCTTATCAACCGTTATAGATACATTAACAACTTCCGTCAAAGCAGTAAAAAAGAAAATTAGTATTTTCTTTTAAGTCACTGACCTCCTATCAATTTGTTTTACGTAGTCATGTCGTTTCTGTGCTAATGTACATGCTGGTCATCAATCTAACATACACATAACAAACCATGGCTATCATGTCAATAAAATTTGATCTATCATTTAATTATAGTTTAATATGGTGGGATCTTGTCTTGTAAACGATCACCAACACGTGAAGCCATATCTGGTCCGCTATAGGAACTGACTGCTGTATCGATCTCCAAGAAGTTTACGTTCCTGTAACATGGCAGTAGATAGGCCACTTTTGTGCTTACATGTGTAAGCTAACCATAAGTTGTAGCTATTACAGAATAATTAGTTAATAACTTTGTGATGATCGTTTCTGTCCTTCAAGTTTAAAATATAATGAGGAAAATAAAAGATTTTTAACGTTTAGTTACATTCGTTCAAGGTAGCATCAAGATGGTTTGTTAATAATATAAGAAGTAAAACCAGATCTGTTTTCTAGACGATTGTCTCTAGGTTGATAGCTAAGCCTTTCAAAGGACTGGAGTTTATCAAGCCGGTCGAGCTCAGACCGTATTGATTCTGACTTCGTCGTGAGAAAAACATATACTTAGATCTAATAAATAATAAATATTATAATAGTAATATAATAATACCAGTTCAAATGAGTCGAAATCCTCTTAGTTAATTGCTTATTTGTTTAGGTATATCAAATCAGACGAAACCAGTGGTTGGGGTAGTGGTTGATGCGTGAGCATACCATACCGCTAACTCGTCAGTATTACTGAATATCACATGTGGCTCAAAGTAATGTTTAAATTGTTTTATATTTAGTGAATCATTTTGTAAACGAGCATGACTCACGAGTAACCTTTTCGAACGAGGTTTAGATTTCCACACGTGCTTGTCGGTATTTGCTTCTGTTTATGCTAGAGCATTTTTCTTGCCAATATGGGTGTCACAGAGCTTAGCTTGTTTTGCGATATTGTGGTAAGTCTTCTCTAATTTCTTCACGATGAAAATGCAGTTTAATGTTATCTTTGACTGTATAGTTTATGCTGAGTTGAACACTAAGATTTCTCAGCTAGATTTATTCACTGTTGGAGCTAGCGGATTTCGAATGATAACGCATCAATTTCGGTGAGTTTAACATTCTAAATCGTGATCAGTGCCCCCTCTTAAAAATAGCTAAAGCAAAAATCTTTCCATATTTTAAGCGCTAGTCAGAAGAAAGATTAAAGACAAATGAAGTGTTTTACATAAATTGTTGATTGATTTATATAATCATCAGATCTCTGATTTATATAGAAGCATTACACTTCTTTCAACATTTCTATTTAACAACATCTATTTATTTGCCACCTTGTACTAATTAACATGTTCCTGCATCCGTATATCTGAAGCACCCCTCGTAAATCAGTTGTCGCTTAATTGTTTTAAGCTTGATTTAAGCAATTTCTAAGCTTCTCGTATGTCTGACTAGCAGTCACGATTTGAATTAGATTTATGTAAACATTTCTAAAAAAAGGCGCCGCGTACGAATAAATACAAAATTCGAAGATAGCCGACATACTATGAATTCATTCGGGCCGTTTCTACACGGTGGCTGTCTAATCTAGCACTGCTGCTGCCGCTTCGCGTTCTCTAGTGGAATCACCAGCTGCATCGAACGGCTAGTTCGTCAGATGGATGAACGCCGTCATCATGTTTAGTTGGTGTTATTACTATTCGTGTTATTGTAATGACGAGTAGCTTTCGGGTTCTTATTTTGCTCTAGAGTGATTAAACCGAAAATGAACAACGCAACGTTGCTTTCAAATAGAAGGTGAACGAATTTATGTTCAACATTATTTCTGTGGTTACTTTTTTTCACATACGCAAAAATATTACGTATTAGTTCATTCGAATAAGAACCAGGACATTTGCGTGTGAGCTTATGCAGCCCCGTATACAAAAATTTAACTAATTTTGACACAATATTGGAATGTTCTTTTTTGTAGCACTAGGCAGTGTATATCATTTTCAATCTGCATATTTAATATGTACAAGCGTTAACATTAATTTGTCGAATAAGCATGTAAATCGATACGAAATCGAAATTCATCTTTTAAAGTAAGCATTTCTGTTTATTTGGCCTCACGGCTTAAGTTTTGTAGGACCTGAGAAAGTTCATACAAAAATAAAGCACATTGTAAAAGGTCTTGAGAATAAAGTCGACTCTCAAAGAATAAAATGGGGACCCTAAAACGAACTCGCATTGATATTTTTCAGTTACTGTTATTAAATCATGGTTTTTATTGATTAATGCATAAATGTTGAATTCATGTTTGTTATTATTATTATGTATATTTTTTACCTGGCTTATTTCTTAAACTGTAAATAACAACGAACTGAGAGCATAGTTGTAAGAGTTATTATTACAGTGAATTCACACATATCTTAACAAATATTTTATTAGTACAATCATATTAAGAAGAATGAATTTTTGCATTGTTTAATATTTAAGCAAGAACATGGCGCTTTCGCCTATTGCAAAGGATTTTAATCCGTCTTTAATAACCAAAACGGTGCAAAAGTCTTCGAAAGATGAAGCTAAGCAAAACAAAAACCATGACCCTGGATCATCGTCTTCAGTGCAAAAATTAAGCGAAACGTTTGCAGCTATTGTAGTCGATAATCCTTCAATACAAAGCACCTTCCCTACGACGAATCGGGGCGATCAACCGGCAACGCCTCTGACAAATGTTTGGTAGGAACATGATTGCACTACATATGAGAGATCTTAGCTTCTTTTAAAAACAAGATCGTACTACTTTACATATGTCGAAAAAGAAACTAACGTAAATCCCAGCAAATCATTTTAATAACATACTATGAGCAGCATAGAAACAAGAACTAATTAAAAAAGAAATTCACTTTCAGTTACTTTGAAATAGTTTTTTTTGTATAATAATTCGACTACTGAGGTATCGAATTGACAACTAGTTAAGGGGTTTTTCAGCTTATCTATAGCATGCGACTTGGTATTTTTGACAGGATGTCATCTCGGACTACCTCACGGAGACCTAAGGCTGGACAGTCAATGGTTGCAGACTTGCAATCATTGATTATTGAGACTGCCCTTGCAAAACGTGCTGCCCGACGACAACCACAAAACGGCTTGAATAGAGCTTCCAAGCATGACTGCTTTGCCGTTATGGGAAACGGGCCATTGAAAGGTACATATTATGTCAAAAATCCAAACGACCCTGAAACAATGCAAGTGAATATAATGCGGTCAGGTGTGATACTAATTTTTTTACGTAACATAAGGTGTGCATTCTAAACTCAGAACTTCAGTCTCAAACGTCCAATCTTGTTTTATTTTACGGTTTAAGTAATAGTAAATCATGAATAATTTTTTTTGTAAATTTCTACTACCTTTTGCTGAATCTATCGACGCAATAATTAGTTTCTTGCACATTTTTAGGGTTGAATCAGATTTGCATATTTCGATAATTAATGATAAAAGAACGTCACTGTCTTTGCACAAGATAAAGTATAACTGTGTGTTATAGACTCGTACGCAGACGTTACTGAAAGGTATTATTACGGTCTACTAAATACAAACATTTGAAAGCCTAGGACAATGGACGCCAGATTCATCAGCATAAACAGCTGTCGACACTACAGTCTCACATTGTTACTACATGTGTCATAGGCAAAAAAAAAAAGATTGTACGGCCATCTGACTCCAACAAAAAATTATCGAAGTTAAAGAAGTCAGTAATAGACTTTCGAGACGCACAAGGAAACCCTGCGTACGAAATCGGAGAAACAACTTCACCTACAAAAAATGCAGTCGAAGCATGTAAAGACGAGCGACGCGCCTATGAGCGTCTGAGACAGGCAGCTGACGGAGAAACGCTTATTGAGGTAAAAATCAACAGCACATTTTGCAAGGAAAAAAAATAGAACCATAAGAAATCTGGCTTTTACAGGAAACCCCGTTATTTTTTTGACTTATGCGCGTCTTGTTTTGTATAATCATTAAGAGAATTTGCTATCGATAATACATCTTAGACAGTTTAAGGATGACCCCAAAGATTCTCAGAAAATATCTATTTAGGGCAGTAGCTTGGCCCTGGTTTTCTAAAGTTTCTATTAAAACTGCCCTTAAATCAGATGTGATCGGCACACAGCCTTAATCTTTATACCATAGGATTATTTGAAGCAATTACTGAAGCAGGAGGGTCTAATAAATGTCAGATCGAACTACTTAAAGTTTCAATACCATTGATGCATAGGTACTTATTTGCATTAGATCTTGATAGATTTTAGGATGCCTTTAACCTGAGCAACCAGGACATCTGCTCTTTGTTTTTTAATAGTTCATCTTCAATAAATCGTGCTCTTCAATAGATAGAAAAGCTCACCACCGATATGCTGACCGGTCTGAAAACGTTCCAAGATCAGCAGTTTCAACGTAATGAAATAAAAGCTCGAGTCCGACAACGCATGTACTTTGGTTTGAGAGAGGCCTTCAAGTATGTGATAAGCTCGAAGATCCGAATGCTGCTGCTAGCACGAGATCTTGAACCTGGACCAGGGTCGGCCGGACTTGATCAGCTGGTTAATGACCTCTTAGACAAAGCCCAAGCGAATTGCGTCCCTGTCGTTTGTGCCTTGACACGCAAGAAACTCCAAAGGCTTACTCACAAACCATCTAAGGTGTGTATAATATAGACTGCATCAGAAAAAACAGCAGTTGCATGGCGTACTGGAATAAAAAAAGAATTCGAGGTTAGCGTTATTGAATGTAGTCTTTAAACCATAGTTCAAGTAGTTAATGTTTTTGCTTTGACCACAGCATTATTTTGATTGCTAGGCAAGGTTGCTTACAGGTATAAGAAGGTGTTAACGTACAAAGGCAGTTGCAGCAAATGTAACATTATATAAATGTAGCACGACGTAATGTACACGTAGGTTAATGAATACACGGGACGTTGTACATAGTTTCTATTTTGTAGGTGGCGTGTGTAGCAATCGTGGATCCATCAGGAAAGGAGCAGCAATTCGAAAGACTCAAGGAACTAACAACATATACTAGCCCATTTACGACATTCGAAGCTCAACGTCAAACAAACTTTGGAGATGAACAAACTTTTAGCGAGGAGATGCTGAAGACTTGGACATCAACAACGCGTCAAGGAAGATTCGAATTTCCTGTTGATAAGCTTTTCTAAGTGATATCTACAATAAGTCACAAGGGCTGTTAATACGTTTAACAATGAACGAATAAAGTACGTGTGTCACAAAAATGTTCGGATAAAAATACGCTGTTTATTTATTTTCTACTTCTACTGTTGTTATGGTGCTTGATAGCCATTTAGCAGATTTGCTTCGACGGAATAACGTGGTCATCTGCATGAATCATCTCCAGTCATTTGCCTATCTAGCGTAATTATAGGCTGGCCAAGCTATACTAGACATGGGAGTGAATAAAGACGATTATGAATTTGTACGATTGATAATGAAATCGTTTGCTGTTTTCACTAATAGTATTTGCTTCGATATTGTGTTACCCGTGTATACAATAAAATGGCTAATGACTATTTTTGATGATATGCTATAAACGAGAAGTAATGTCATTTGCGCTTTACTTGTTATAAGAGAATTTGAATACTAAAATTATCTAATAACTTAAATAAAATATTTTAGTACATGTTAATTAAAAGAAAATTTTTAAAAATTGCTGTCAATACCCGGTATTTGCAGACGGTCTCCTTCCCAATTACTATCCGGAACCAACTTTGTTTAACTCCGGTGACCGTACGACAACCTGCGTATTCAACGTGGTATGGCCGATGGGGCCAACGGAGCGACTCAAATGCGAAGTTAAGAAATATTAGGCTGTTTGAGTTGAATTCTAAAATAATGTAATAACCGAAATAAAAGGATTTAAAAGTATTTTTAGAAAAATATTATGGTACATATGAATTAAAAGAAAAATTTTAAAAAATTGCTATCAACACCAGGTGTTCGCAGGCGGTCTCCCCTGCAAGTACTACCCGAGCCCAACGTTGCTTGGCTTCGGTGGTCGTACAAGAACCAGCGTGTTCAACGTGGTATGGCCGATGGCATTGATGGTGCTATTCGAACCTGAAGTTAAGCGGCAGTAACGGTCGATTCAAACGTGAAGTTAAGGATATCAGGTGCATAATGTGTTTCACCGTTGAGTTGAATTCCAAAATGATTTAATAACCTAAATAAAAGAATTTAAAGGTATTTTTTTTAACTATTATGGTACGTATTAATTAAAAAGAAATTAAAAAAATTGCTATCAACACCCGGTGTTCGCAGACGGTCTCCTTTGTAATTACTATCCGGGGCCAACTTTGTTTACCTTCGGTGATCAGCGAGAACCAGCGTATTCAACGTGGTATGGCCGATGCCACTGATAGTGCGTAAGTTAAGAATATCAGGTGCATAATGTTTTCACTTTTGAGTTGAATTCTAAAGATGTAATAACCTAAATAAAATAATTTAAAAGTATTTTTAAAAAAATATTATGGTACATATGAATTAAAAGAAAATTTAAAAATGCCATCAACACCCGGTGTTCCCAGGCGGTCTCCCTTCCAAGTACTATCCGAGCCCAACGTTGCTTAGCTTCGGTGATCGGACGAGAACCGGCGTATTCAACGTGGTATGGCCGATGCTGTGAGAAGCGATTCGAACGTGGAGTTAAGAATATCAGAGTGCATAATGTGTTTCACTGTTTAGTTGAATTCCAAAATGATTTAATAACCTAAATTAAAAAATTTTAAAGTATTTTTAAAAACTATTATGGTACTATTAATTAAAAGAATTTTAAAAAAATTGCATCAACACCCGGTGTTCCAGCGGTCTCCCTTTTAATACATATCGGAACCAGCTTGCTTACTTCGGTGATCGACGAAAACCGCGTATTCAAGTGGTATGGCCGATGGCAGTGACGGTGCGATTCGAACTGAAGTTAAGAATATCAGGGTGCATAATGTGTTCACTGTTTGAGTTGAATTCTAAAATGATTAATAACCTAAAAAAAGATTTTAAAAGTATTTTTAAAAAAAATTATGGTACATATGAATTAAAAGAAAATTTAAAAAAATGCCATCAACACCCGGTGTTCCAGCGGTCTCCCTTTTAATACATCCGAACCACTTGCTTAGCTCGGTGATCGACGAGAACCGTATCAAGTGGTATGGCCGATGGCAGTGACGGTGCGATTCGAACGTGAAGTTAAGAATATCAAGTGCATAATTGTTTCACTGTTTGAGTTGAATTCTAAAATGATTTATAACCTAAATAAAGATTTTAAAAGTATTTTAAAAAAAATTATGGTACATATGAATTAAAAGAAAATTTAAAAAAATTGCCATCAACACCCGGTGTTCCCAGGCGGTCTCCCTTCCAAGTACTACCGGCCAACGTTGCTAGCTTCGGTGACGGACGAGAACCGGCGTATTCAACGTGGTATGGCCGATGGCTAACGGTGGATTCAACGTGAAGTTAAGATATCAGGGTGCATATGTGTTTCACCGTTTGAGTTGAATTCTAAAATGATTTAATAACCTAAATAAAAGAATTTAAAAGTATTTTTAAAAAAATATTATGGTACATATGAATTAAAAGAAAATTTAAAAATGCCATCAACACCCGGTGTTCCCAGGCGGTCTCCCTTCCAAGTACTATCCGAGCCCAACGTTGCTTAGCTTCGGTGATCGGACGAGAACCGGCGTATTCAACGTGGTATGGCCGATGGCAGTAACGGTGCGATTCAACGTGAAGTTAAGAATATCAGGGTGCATAATGTGTTTCACCGTTTGAGTTGAATTCTAAAATGATTTAATAACCTAAATAAAAGAATTTAAAAGTATTTTTAAAAAAATATTATGGTACATATGAATTAAAAGAAAATTTAAAAATGCCATCAACACCCGGTGTTCCCAGGCGGTCTCCCTTCCAAGTACTATCCGAGCCCAACGTTGCTTAGCTTCGGTGATCGGACGAGAACCGGCGTATTCAACGTGGTATGGCCGATGGCAGTAACGGTCGATTCAAACGTGAAGTTAAGGATATCAGGTGCATAATGTGTTTCACCGTTGAGTTGAATTCCAAAATGATTTAATAACCTAAATAAAAGAATTTAAAGGTATTTTTTTAAACTATTATGGTACGTATTAATTAAAAAGAAATTTAAAAAAATTGCTATCAACACCCGGTGTTCGCAGACGGTCTCCTTTGTAATTACTATCCGGGGCCAACTTTGTTTACCTTCGGTGATCAGCGAGACCAGCGTATTCAACGTGGTATGGCCGATGCCACTGATAGTGCGTAAGTTAAGAATATCAGGTGCATAATGTTTTCACTGTTTGAGTTGAATTCTAAAGGATGTAATAACCTAAATAAAATAATTTAAAAGTATTTTTAAAAAAATATTATGGTACATATGAATTAAAAGAAAATTTAAAAATGCCATCAACACCCGGTGTTCCCAGGCGGTCTCCCTTCCAAGTACTATCCGAGCCCAACGTTGCTTAGCTTCGGTGATCGGACGAGAACCGGCGTATTCAACGTGGTATGGCCGATGCTGTGAGAATGCGATTCGAACGTGGAGTTAAGAATATCAGAGTGCATAATGTGTTTCACTGTTTGAGTTTTGAATTCCAAAATGATTTAATAACCTAAATAAAAAATTTAAAAGTATTTTAAAAAAAATTATGGTACATATGAATTAAAAGAAAATTTTAAAAAAATGCCATCAACACCCGGTGTTCCAGGCGGTCTCCCTTAATACTATCCGAGCCCAACTTGCTTACTTCGGTGATCGGACGAGAACCGCGTATTCAACGTGGTATGGCCGATGGCAGTGACGGTGCGATTCGAACTGAAGTTAAGAATATCAGGGTGCATAATGTGTTTCACTGTTTGAGTTGAATTCTAAAATGATTAATAACCTAAAAAAAGATTTTAAAAGTATTTTTAAAAAAATTATGGTACATATGAATTAAAAGAAAATAAAAAAATTGCCATCAACACCCGGTGTTCCAGCGGTCTCCCTTTTAATACATCCGGAACCAGCTTGCTTACCTCGGTGATCGACGAGAACCCGTATCAAGTGGTATGGCCGATGGCAGTGACGGTGCGATTCGAACGTGAAGTTAAGAATATCAAGTGCATAATTGTTTCACTGTTTGAGTTGAATTCTAAAATGATTTATAACCTAAATAAAGATTTTAAAAGTATTTTTAAAAAAAATTATGGTACATATGAATTAAAAGAAAATTTTAAAAAAATGCCATCAACACCCGGTGTTCCCAGGCGGTCTCCCTTCCAAGTACTATCCGAGCCCAACGTTGCTTAGCTTCGGTGATCGGACGAGAACCGGCGTATTCAACGTGGTATGGCCGATGGCTGTGAAATTCGATTCGAACGTGAAGTTAAAAATATCAGAGTGCATAATGTGTTTCACTGAGTTGAATTCCAAAATGATTTAATAACCTAAATTAAAAAATTTTAAAGTATTTTTAAAAAACTTTATGGTACGTATTAATTAAAAGGGAATTTTAAAAAAATTGCTATCAACACCCGGTGTTCGCAGACGGTCTCCTTTGTAATTACATCCGGAACCAGCTTTGTTACCCTCGGTGATCGACGAGAACCAGCGTATCAAGTGGTATGGCCGGTGGCAGTGACGGTGCGATTCGAACTGAAGTTAAGAATATCAGGGTGCATAATGTGTTCACTGTTTGAGTTGAATTCTAAAATGACTAATAACCTAAAAAAAGATTTTAAAAGTATTTAAAAAAAATTATGGTACATATGAATTAAAAGAAAATAAAAAAATTGCCATCAACACCCGGTGTTCCCAGGCGGTCTCCCTTCCAAGTACTAACCGCGCCAACGTTGCTAGCTTCGGTGACGGACGAGAACCGGCGTATTCAACGTGGTATGGCCGATGGCAATAACGGTGTCGATTCAACGTGAAAGTTAAGAATATCAGGGTGCATAATGTGTTTCACCGTTTGAGTTGAATTCTAAAATGATTTAATAACCTAAATAAAAGAATTTAAAAGTATTTTTAAAAAAATATTATGGTACATATGAATTAAAAGAAAATTTAAAAATGCCATCAACACCCGGTGTTCCCAGGCGGTCTCCCTTCCAAGTACTATCCGAGCCCAACGTTGCTTAGCTTCGGTGATCGGACGAGAACCGGCGTATTCAACGTGGTATGGCCGATGGCAGTAACGGTCGATTCAAACGTGAAGTTAAGGATATCAGGTGCATAATGTGTTTCACCGTATGAGGATGGCACTAACGTTCTGATTCAAACGTGAAGTTAAGGGTATCAGGGTGCATAATGTGTTTCACCGTTTGAGTTGAATTCTAAAATGG